AACACACTCGGCTGCACCTCGTATGCCACTTTTTTGTTCTTACTATATTTTGACGTCATCTGTGATCTATTACTGAACAGAGGCATGGCAACTTGGAATCTTGGAATCTTTTTGTTAAATATACAAATACACATATACATATATATTGCATCTTTTACTTGTGCTGTTGAAGGATGAGCTACGAACAAATTGTTTGAGAGAATTCAGATCTTAAATGAATGAAAGTTCCATCGATTAACTCAATTGTAACCAAATACCACACGTTTCAACTTCCTCGGTACTTAGTTACAAACGGTTTTTAGGTCGCTTGTCAACCAATTTAATGACACTTTTGCCTATACAAATTAATTTCGAAACCAATATTTTTCCTCTACCAAAGTGATTGAGAGAGATAAAAGAGAGGAACAATGAGTTATTTATCGGCTTGAGGTTGTGACCAACTTTTTTGCTTAAAAATACTGCCCAGCCGGAAAAACTAGATATATGTATGAAAAATGGCAACGAAGGCAGGGATGTACTCGGCGACTTACGAAATCGTTACCGTGCCCGTGGCCAGAGAAAATACGGACCGCGCTAAGATCCTATCAGATTGCAGGATTCGTTGCTGTACCCGCTGAGAAAATATATGTTATTCGCCAGCCGGGAGTTCCGTATTGGGAAAAACTGTGCCAAGGTCTCGAGTACCGCCCTCGGGTACTAAAGACTTCTGATTATGAGCTATGATGCTCTACTTCTGAGCTTCAGAGAACTTTGTGTTGGGCTTTGCCATTATTAAGTTCAATGGTGACATTAGCAATGTAGAAAGCAAATTTTAACTATATATATTAAAAAAAAAAAAATTATTCATTTTGGCACCCCCTGTTAAAATCTTTACTATAGTGTGATTTATTTTATATGTGATGTCTCTTTATGATAGTTCATAAAAACCTCCAAGAGAGGCCTTGTAACGTGATATTCAGAGGGGCTTGTAAAGACACTTGATAATAAATGATACGTGTGCCCACGCTCTATTTGACAGTGGTGAGCCATATGACCAGTTCTCATAAATACTTTGTTGAGGAGGGCGAGGAGGAGGGCGAGTTTCCTGGGTGCAAACTTACCCTTTTTTCATTGCAGATTCTCGAGGAGCCAGGGGAAGACAATACAAAGTTTGACAATATAGTTCCCACAATTGTTAAACCCAAAACTGCTGAGGAGTTCATTATCGAGTCTGCTTTAAAAGGGCATGTGAGTAGCGTCTTATTAGCCATTCAGAGTCCTACTGTGAGTTTTCTAGAAGCTGCACAGTCTTTTTCATAAGTTTTACTGGGTTTTATATTAAGCCTTTTTGAAAATTTGATTTTATTTTGTTTCTTCTCAATCTAGACTCCCTATGAAATAGCTGTCCTTCGACAGTTTCCATTTTCTTCAGAACTGCAGCGTATGAGTGTTGTGTGTCGTACTCTTGGTGCCCCCAATATGGATGTTTATGTAAAAGGTGCTCCAGAAACTATTACAAGTCTGTGCCAACCACAAACAGGTTTGTACCGGTAAAGGCACCATGAAAGTCATTGTTAACTTCACTATTGGCTAGTTTAGAAGTGAATAGCACGCATATTTACTTCCGAGCCGCCGACGAGACAAAATCGTACTTCAAGAGTTTAATTCCCGACCTGTTTTCGGTATATTGAAAGAAATACACTTATTTTTTGGTATCTCCAGTAGTTGAATAATTGTTAAATATCACCTGGAGCATCTTAAAATTTGCTTCAAATAGACTTGAACCTACTACCTTCCCGAGTAGTACTTCGGACGCGTATTACCACCGAGTTATAGGTTAGAGAAGACTCGCGGCAAGCTTTATTTTAACTGGGTTTAAAATCTTGCGTGAATCATGTGGGAATGTCGTCATGTGATGCTTATGTGCAGTGATGATGTATATAAAGAGAGTAATTTTTAAGCTTAGTTATCTATGGGAAAGCAGTACCCTTCAGTAAACGACGCAGGCATAGTATGATGAAAAAAAAAAATTCCGAGTGCTCCCAACAGGATTCGAGGCAACGACTTTCGGAGAAATACTTCGAATGCTCTACTACGCAATTACAGGAGACTTGATCCAATCTAGGCTGTTTAACTAGATCCATGGTGACAAACATTCTGTGTGCTGCTAGAATAGGAATTTCTAGATGTGATGATATAAATGAAGGTGGTAAATTTCAAGCCTGGTAATTTAAGTGAAGGAAGATTTTATTAAGAAAATTACACAGGCATACTTTGATTAGGGAAAAAAATTTCGAGTGCTCCTGTTAGGATTCGGACCTACGACCTTGCGATTTAAAATACTGTGGACGCTCTGTCACTGAGCTATAAGAGACACGCGCAAACTCGGCCGTTTAATTAGGTCTATGGTGTTAAAGTTCCTGCGATGGGTGGTATTTTGTTTCTTTCGGTTACAACCAGGCACCTTTTTAACTTTCATAAAGGATTCTTCTGTTCATCTTTCCATATTCAGTTGCTTTTACGCATACAGATAACAAAGATCACCACATGCAACAGAAATCAGGAGATTTTGCAGCATTTGAAATTTAGGATCAGGATGTTTTGCCTGAAAAAAGCACTTTGGGAGGCTTCTATGGTGACATGTCATAATTGGCTACTCGTACTTTGGCGGGTTAAAGAAGTCAGTTTCAAAGCGTTTTTCTTTTTTTAATATCTCGCACGCATTTCAAAATTTTACCATACGTTTTCTTTAAAACTGTAATCAAAATAATATAGCTTGGTTTGACGTCAAATAATAAATATTTCGAAGAAATTAGCCTTTGAAGATGTCAAAGGAAATTGGTTTTGATATTTGGTTTTATATCTAAGGAATTATGTCAAATGCAGGGTTTGCCCATTTTGACGAAGCCTAATGTTGGTAAACTTTTTGGTTAGTTCCAGGAGATTTTACCAATGTTCTGCAGCACTATACCACGAAAGGTTACAGAGTTTTGGGTTTGGCATGGAAACCACTGGATTCTAAACTGTCATGGCATCATGTCCATAGAGTTACACGGTAATGACATGGTGGGGGTAACTATCCATCAAATAAATTTAATGTTTAGCGTGCAGCTAAAACTATTGAGGAGCCAGAATTCAGAACAACAATTTGACAGCTTGATTTCTTATAGGGATCGAATAGAATCAAACCTGCAATTCCTGGGATTTTTGATTCTTCAAAACGCAGTGAAACCCCAGAGTTATCCTGTTATAAGAACGCTTCAAAATGCAGATATCAGAACTGTAATGGTGACAGGTAAGACATACATCTCACATAAACATCTCTCTTTAGACATAAAGCTACTGTCATTGTTATTGTTATCGCTGCTAAGGGCTCCAGTACCAGCATTTCATCTTGTTGCTGTTCAGGACCCACTTTGCTTCATATTTTTTGGTAGAAAAGGCCAGTGCCTTCCCTTCATAATTTTCATATTGTAGCTATCCATTTTACAGCAAAAGTTAGTCCGACGGGCTGTTTGCAACCTCTTGTTACTCTGTGTAGTTCAAACCTGCACCTTTATATTTATGAGCATGTGGATACTCTTTTCAGTGGTTTTGCCACTTTCATGATAGTCTACACAACTCAAAGTAGACAAGATTTGACTTTGCTATGGGATTTATTGTGAAAGTGAAGAAATAAAATATTTTAGGAATATGGTTAGCCTGATTAAGTTAAGCCCATGTAGAATTTGTCATTTTAGCCTGGCTCAGTGAGAGTGAAGTACAATGATCACTATATGGCTTTCACAACCTGTTACTTACAACAGTGTTTGGATTTGATCTGTTTTTCATCATTGGTTAACAATTTTATACAAGAGAATATAATTATATTCTCTTGTTTTACATGTATATTTTGATTTTGATGTCTGAACCTCACTCAACTGACCCTGGTTTACCAAAGCAAGGGGCCGTGATTGATGTACTCTACTAGCTCTTGATTTCCTTTAGTTTTGAGAGCTACCCCAAGATTGATTTGTTGTAGGTGATAACATGTTAACAGCTGTGAGCGTTGCTAGAGACTGTGGAATGATTGCACCTACACATCAGGTATATGCATTTATATAATAGGCTGAGTTATGTGCTCATTTTGATTGGTTCTGAAGTATGATTTATAGGAGGACACATGCATAGGTGACTTCATCGTTGACAGTATTTTTGCTTCTTTACATTCCATGTTGCCGTGGGTCTCTTCTGTGATAGATTACAGAAAACTTTGACCGAGATGTAGTAAGAACGTTAATAACACACCGGGCTGCGCCTTTTGTGTCGCTTTTATGTTCTTTCAAAATTTTGACGTCATCTGTGACCTTTTACTGAACAGGCGCAAGGGAACATGGAATATATTTGTTAAATACTTGAATTCATCACCATTTGTCAATAGGAAAAACTAAGCTGAACGGTGAGGCTCTTATTGTGGTTTTAACATTTATATTTTACGTAACAAGTCGTTTTCCAGACGGAAAACTACTCACAAGTGTATACAGAAAACCTACACACACCGACCAGTACCTCGTCTATGATTCGCACCACCCACAATCTGTTAAACGCGGTATTGTCAAGTGTTTACATGATCGAGCTGAACGCATCATCACCAAGCCATCCGAAACAGCTCAGGATAAAAAACAGCTCTCGTCGCCAACGGCTACCCTCCGTCCTTCTTACAGAAGGTGACCAAAACCAGGAATCCAACACCAGAGAGGGAAACAGCAGAATTCAAGTCCACCGCAGTGCTGCCATACATCAAAGGAGTCTCAGAACCCCTCCGCCGCCACCCACACCGACAAGGAATACGCACCGTCTTTAAATCCGACACCACATTAAGATCTCGGCTGGTCAGACCAAAAGACCCCGCTGATCCAAACAAGCAAGATGGTGTAGTCTACAAGATACCATGCATATGCGGCAAAGTCTAAATCGGGGAAACAGGACGACCCATGCAAGAAAGAATGAAAGAACACGACAGGGATATACGACTCGCACGCACTCAGAATTCCGCGGTTTCAGATTATGCCAACGGAACCGGACACAAGCCATTGTGGAACGAAAGCAAGCTTATTGACCGAGAAAGCCATTGGTACGCAAGGAAAGTGGAAGAGGCAATTTAAATAGAGTCAACTTAAATAACATAGACAGGGACAACGTGCTACCTATTGATTTACATTAATAGGTAGCACAACATTAACTTAAGAAAGTGTTAAAACTCTTTTGTAAATTGCTCTTTAGGTTGTCGAACTAACTGCTAAGCTGAGTGAGGACCACTCTCACGAAATTCATGTCAATTGGTGTGTTGTTGGAGCTGTTCAAAGTCGCAGCCATGATTATAAGACTGAGGTACTGATCTATTGAGAAATTATGGAAGAAAGGTTTATTCCACAGCGTTTTGTTGTCATCGTGAGGTCAAGGGCAGATGCAGTACAAAGAGGCGACTTTTAAAGTAGACTGGAGTTGAAAATTAAAAGAAATTCCAGAAAGAGTAAGGGTGACTACATACTCTCCATCTTTGCACACTCAGTTCAGGTTCATACTTGTGGTAAATGGTAGTGCTGTTAGGGGTTCTGTATTTTGTGGGCTTGATATAGACTTTAAACTTGATTCTGGGAGCTCAGTTGAGTAAGGGTGTAGAAAGCCTTGTCAGCCAAACAGTCGCCTTAGACAGTTCGAAAAGCCGCAAAACTGTTTCAGTTCAGCACTCTCAATCCCTACGGTATCAACGAACGCTTTTCTTTCAATAAATTAATTCTTGTTTTTCGCATTACTATGTTCCCACCGATGGGGTGGCTCCATTTTCTGTAGATATGAACCACACACGACTCATAATTTTTCGCTCTGACATATAGCTTATACTCTTAATGCTAGCTTTAGAAACTCTCAATGGTGTGTTCTGTCACACGTGTCACGCGTCTAGCGTCACAAACATAGTTAAGCATTGTATTTCATCGCAAGATATTAGGGTGTTGATTTTCCATGTTATTGTCGGGGATTGTAATTGTCGTGCCCGCCGGCTTTCTCGGTTCACCACGAAATTTTACTTTGAATAAATTTGGTTACACTGTGATGAAGGGCCTACGTCTCGTTTGCTGAGGGAAGCAAGCTAATGGATCAGGCTTCGAAGGATCAGAGCATGGTGGCCATTTTACATTATCAACTCAGTTATAAAACCAACTTACGTTACAACAGTTGCTTTGTTTGGCTCTATCTGCACTTGGTAATGTCATCATGATGGATAATAACTGCATACTCAAACCTAAATGCACTGACATTATTATTTTGTGTGCTTTACTAGCGTAATTACATAGATGGAGGAAGAAGATGTATTCACGTGGCAGTTTCAGGGAAAACATTTGCTTTAATCAGAATTCACAAGCCTCGGCTATTTAACAAGGTGAACAATGTTACTCTAGACAGTATACTCCACGAACACAAGTGAGGTCGCAGAAAACTGAAACTAACAATTATGTCTAAAATAGTCTTTGTCCCACGTTCATCACAAGACGAAAAACATCGTTCTCAATATTAGAATTGTTTCCAAAACTGTCCAAAGCTCTTACCCGTTTGCCCGCTTGGCAAACGAATCACAGCACAGGTTTCACATCATCATGTCTGCTTGCGCTGTCAGCTATATAATAATTATTTGTTTTGGTTCCCAAGACAAATAGCTGTGAAAGGGTACATGCAGGCACATATTTAAGGGTTTATTCAACAGCACCCAAAACAACATTACAAATGTGATATGTAAATTTACCCAATATTTAACACGGTGAACATACAGTGACATCATAACCAAATTGTCTCAACTAAATGAGTTTCTCTATTTTCTTAAAATTAAGGTCTCCCAAACTAGCAGATATCGGCTTCCTTTCGTTACCTTATACCATACATGATTTGAAGTTTTTCATTTTTTGTGTATAATTTGCATTAAGTTGCTTATGTCAGGAACTGTATTTGCTCGAATGTCACCTGACCAAAAGACACATCTTATTCAAGGGTTGCAGAATCTGAAGTAAGTAATGCTGTAGCAGAGTTAGGGAAAAAAGAAGCCTCACTTTTCTCTGTTCTGTTGTAAAGCACGCAGGAAGAAGTTAGAGCACAAAAGAACTGTAGGGGGAGTCACAAGACGTAGTTGTTTGTTTTCCCTACTTCTTTTGTTACGCTTTCTGAATGCTTTACAAGAAAACAAGCACAGTCGAGGTTTTGTTTGTTTGTTTTTTTACGATAAAGAATACATTAAATTCCCCACTTATTTGTATAATTTTCAAAACGAACTCTATTTTCCAGAGGAACGGAGATGGCGTGAGCGTGCATATGTTCTCTAAATTTTTTTAATTTTCCTTAAATGTTCCCTATCAATATCTGGTTCGAAAAATACATTAAAAAAGAGGGGTCTTCTTTGTGAGATATAATTGACCAAACTAACCCCATTTATTAATCACGCGCGTCATTACATTGGTTCACTGTACATTTTGCGATAGTTGGAAGCAAAGGTTAAAGTAACACTTGAACAAAACTTTACAGGCCGAAAGTACCGATCGTATAGAACGATTTGATATATTTGATGTGGAAAATCACGCATTTTTAAACTAGCTAATTGCATGGAGCGAAGAAGAATTAAGGATTAATTTCACGGGCTGCGCGACTCATGCATTTTCTCTATACTTCAGAAAACACGTGATGTTAATCCTAAATTTTACCAGGACACAAGTGATTTCTTGTTTACAATATAAAGGCCAAAGTTTTCTTTCATGAAGAAGATCAAGACCGCACGTTGTTACGCACGTTCGTAGGAAGCCATTGTTGGGGCAAATTTTTCCCTTCGTTTTCGTTTGCTCACTTGTCATCGTAAACCTTTTTTTTTTCTTTTCGCTCTTCTGTAATTTGTTAATTACGCTGCTTTGTTACGTGCTGTATGTAAATTTAGTTATATAGTTTGTTGTCTCCAACCACCAATGCCAGTTATTCTCAGCATTTGGTAAGCGGCCTCATTTTCATTTGATTTCGTTTTGCAGTGGCCTTTTGGTAGTTTGTCTGATTTGTAATTATTAATTTTTCGCTCTTGAAGGAATTTGCTTTTTTCTAACGTTATAGTAAAAACATTTTCTGAGACATCGTGTTGTGTTTTTTTTTTCGAATTGGCCCTTGCCTGTTCAGCTATTACAGTGTTCAGTTAGTGTATTAAGTGAACTGTAAAACGCACAAATCAGCTGATTTTTGCACAATAACGCCAAAGCAATGAAAGCAACCTAGTTGAAAACAGTTGCCGTGAATAAAATGATAAAATTTTTTAGGCGAAGTTAAGCCTTTTTGAACATTGTCTAAACTTTGGTAATTTCTTGGGGCAATTACCAAAATTAACGAAAAAAAACCCCGCTGTCTCAGCCAATCAGCTTTAGTAATTTTGCCCTCTATGTTATGAAGGTCAGAATTTGCATCCACGAGTACTTTTCCAATTTAAAGGGGGGTAATTTGCTAACCAAAATTTACGTTTAAGGGGGAAAAGACCATTGTACTTTTTTACATGGTTCATTGCGCGCATCTATTCGCCTGATAACGTAACTGTGGTATAAAACCGTAACTTATTGCCCAGTGACAGCAAGGATCCAATAGTTGTTAATTAACTCTTGATATGCTGTTTTTTTGTCTTAAACGTAGTTACTGTGTTGGGATGTGTGGAGATGGAGCTAATGATTGTGGGGTAGGACAACAACTCTGATGATACTGCATGATAATTGATAGATAGTTATATCAGTACTAGAGATGTAATGTAACAATTAGGATTGATACTAAAATTGAATGGAAGAAAAAAGTGGCATAAGGGTTTGATGACAATCTCACACCACTGGGGTTTAAAGAAACAATCGCAAAAAAATGCGCAATTCTTCGAAGCATGTGGATTTTGTTGTGCCCTAAAGTATTTTGTATTGTTTGTGTAGGCTCTTAAGGTGGCACATGCAGGAATTTCATTGTCACAAGCAGAAGCATCTGTGGCATCTCCATTTACTTCAAAGGTGTGTTTAGACTCTATTACCCCTTCGTAATTCGCTCTGGCTAAGGACTAACAAACGAAACGTCAGCTTTGGAAACTCTCTACGGTGGCCAATTTACATTGTCAACTCAATTGATAAAACCAATTTATCTTGTAATACCCCTGGCTTTCTTTAGAAACTTACCCCATTAAATAATATCGTTGTACGAGAGAACGCGGCTCTGCAACAAAGAGCATGGACAGGCTTCTTTATTTGTGTCTTCTAGTATAGATCATATGTTGTTTAGACAGACGTTTGCGAGTTCAAAAGAAGCGGATTAAGGTATGAAAGTTGCCCAAAACACAGATTCGGGGGGCTACAGTTTGCTTGCAACTTTGTGAGGCATGAAATGAAACCGGATGAACACCATACATTTTCGCTTTTATTAAGATATTTTTGAAACATTAACAAAATTCAGCTTAGAAGATACCTGAGAAAAATCACTGAAAGGCACAGAAATGGAAGTTAACCAATGAACATTATTTTTATTTAGATTCCACATATTGAATGTGTACCTGCTGTAATAAGGTAAATGCTCAAAGTTGCTATTGCATAATCAGTAAACTCTTAAAACCAACATTCCATATTCTCCAGAAATATATGATAAAGGTAATGTCTTAATGTTAATACCTTAATGTTAATGGAAGTATCCTTGCGTGAGATGTCGGCCCTAAAATTGTCAACTATAAGAGTTTGTTTGTCTGTTTGGTTTTTTTTTTCAGGGAAGGCAGAGCAGCTCTGGTAACATCATTTGGAATTTTTAAGTACATGGCTCTTTACAGTATTGTGCAGTTTGTCTCTGTTCTCTTACTTTATTCGGTATGTGCCACTTATAATCTTTTTGTCAATTATTTTTCTGAAATTAGGTCTCTTGAAAGCACAAGTTGTGTTTGTGAACGGCAGCCAGGCAATTTTGATAACTGGAAGAAATTTAAACTAATTCATTTCTATTCATTTTTGAATGATAAACCATGCTTAGAATATGTGTTATACTCGAAAAATTTGTTCCACCCCCAAAAATTAGCCAGATTTCTTTCAATCATTCTTATTCCATGTGTTGCCTTGTTTTCAGTTTGTAACAAAATACACCCGAGTTGATTGTCGTCCATCCTAAAAACCATGAACACCTGAAACATTTAAGAAAATTTTGGGTTATGATCAACCAGACTGGAGTTCAGGAAATTAAAAGATGCACAAAATCTTCACAGTTGATGCTTACAGTTGTAGTTCTCTCTTGAGAAAAAATGGCAATCTGAGATTATTTCTGGTTTTTGCGGGTTTTGAGTTTTACATTGATTGTAGTGTATTGAATGGTAAGTTGGCTAGAGTACCCGTGTCCCCACCGATGAGTTGTCGGCCCCTTCGTCGGAATTTTCTTTTTTTCCTAGTAACTTGGTTGAGTGAAAATTATCTTAAAAAGAGTTTAAATCTATCCCATCTCGGCATGTTTAATGGTCCAATTCCTCTCACCTTTTCCTTATCCTCGCATTTGAGGAAAGTTTAGGGTAAGGTTAGTGACAAACACATCCTTAACTAAATACTACAAGAAGCTCAGAGTATTTTTTCTGTCATAAATTTGCACATGTAAAAAATCACCTTTGATGTAAGTTTCTCTCTTTTTTGTACAGATTTCTTCTAACCTTGGTGACTGGCAGTATTTGTACATTGATCTAGTCATTATTACAAGCCTGGCTCTTGTCAGTAAGTTTATTGCCCTTCGTGTTTTAAGCTTTGGATGATGGTTTCTTCAAATGAATTCCATCAGTTTGCTTTTTAAATAAGTATGGTCCGCTTGGGAGATAGTAATAAATGACACATTTGGTCCCCTTGTGCCGTTTCAGAGAAGGGGCTTTTCACCCTAACATGCTTGCGCACAGACAGTCCAGTTAGGGGCCTTTCGCGGACAGGTTCTTATGGATCGTCCATTTCTGAAATGCCGTACAAAGCCTCGATTTCCTAAAGGGGAGACCCATTTTAGGGGAGATCCATTCAGGCGTCTTTTTCTCGCATGGCCGTATACATAGATACCTTTACTAGCCATAGAGGCGTTGTCAGTGGATGTGGAGGTAATCCCATGGGAGTGGGTGTGTGCATATTCTCCAAGGGTCCTGATGCAACGAGTGCGCTACTAGTTGATATAATCGAACCAGTCTCGATTGTCGCTAGTTGTTGCCCCATATCATTATCAACTATGGCTTTCGATACTGTTTAGTTTGAAGCCGTCCCTGATGAGAATGTTCCACGGCCCTCTTGAACAGTGTCATTTATCAGCGTGGACTGCAAGAACGACAGTTTTCTGAAGCAGTTTTCCATCACCTCTATCAGACAGTTTGGACGTCGTCAACAAAGCATATAAATGTGAATGAAGTCTGATAATTAAGGTCGTGCAGAACTGCTTTCCAGGTTCTACTTAGCAGTTAGCAGAACTATTTAAATTTCTTTTCTTGCCACGCAAACCTACCCCTCTTACCATCGTGGGCTAAAGGTCAGCCACAAGTGCAGTTACTCGGTCCCTGGGCAGGAATTGCGACACGGAATATTTTGTCGTTGCCATTTACGCCTTAACATACGACAAACTTTGCATTCATTAACATCACTTATCCTAACATTTTTAATTGTAGCGCAGTTAATACATCTATTCCTAGGTTATAGAAATAAACCCAGTTCCGACAAAGTGATCAGTAATTGATGAAGACGGCAGTATTTTTGAGGCAGTGTCTTGGACTTTTCTTGTCTCTGCGTTACCGCTTCGCCTCAAAATCCCTATACTTTTCCTGACACGGTGAAGGCTATGTGCTAAAAAACCCATCATGTTTCTTATTCGAGACTTTCGTCGGCGAGGTATTCAATATGAGACTAACTCGCCTCGTAACACGATGTTTTTCTACTCATTTGAAAGTCTGGGCTAACTCTACCGAATTGTTGTTATTTCCCGCAAGAAATTTGATAATCAACAAATTTAAACCATGGTTAATTTTGCATAACCATGGTTTCCAATTTGTCTTAGAGAAATTGAAAACAATGCTTAAGCAAAATTTGATCTTTTAACTTTTGTTTCTTGTCTTTTTTTAGTGGGTAAGACAGAGGCGTATCCAATGTTGGTGGCTAAGAGACCTGGAGGAAGTCTTATGTCTCCAATCGTTCTTTTTTCACTGATATCCCATATTGCTGTACAAACTGTCGTGCAGGTTGCTGGATTTTATTACGTACGGTCCCAGTCATGGTAAGATGACAAATAATTTATCGTTAATTTAGGCTTAACTTGTGGATTTCTTTAATTTTTTTTTCAATCTGCCAAAGGAAATCTACTCGATTTGTTGGAAACTTCAGCAGATATGAAGGTTTCTTCGTGCGATTTCTTTTACAGAAATTTACCTGTGGAGATCATTTTCTTTTGTGCTTCCCTCTCTTAGACACCTGTTATATCAGGAATGCTTATCTGCTTCTAAACTATGCACTCCTCTGTGCTCTTACATACATCATGATGGCCAGTCTTTTGTTCAATTTTTTGACAGCTATACTTCCTTTTATCGCTCATTACGCGTAAACTTACATTTTTCCAGGATTTTGCAGTTCCTCATTTGCCTCTAATGAAAATTCCTTTAGTTGGATGTGCGTGATTAAAAGCTGTGTACTTTTTTTCTAGGTATAGCGCCGTCCACGTCACTGAAAAGAATGCTACATATGTGAAATGTCATCAGAATGCTGTTTTGTTTGCACTGTCTTCTTTCCAATATATACACTTGGCAGTAGTCTTCTCTGGTGGAGCCCCTTATCGTAAACCATTTTATAAAAGTGGTATGTAAGATTCTTCACTTATCCGATGAAACACGTGTCGATCGAAGTCGTTCAAAATTCATATAATGGTCATATCAAATGTAACTTGAATCTTGTCAGGAGTAAAACTTAGTTTTCAGTTTATTTTGCTTCTCTTTCCAGGATATTTTCTATTGGTCGTGGTATTTCTAACCCTGTTTACAGGATTTTTAGTTGTTCTTCCAGGAGAAACGTTGCAGCTTTTTTTTGAGGTAATGTATTTTCAGTCAAAGTTAATTTTTTAATTTTTATATTGAAAGTCACTTTATGGGAATAATTGCGATTGTAAATAAGGAATGTATACTTGACATACTTACTCATATAATTCAGGTGCTGATGTAATAGGGAACTGATGTAGTAATAACGCCTTCATTCTGTTTTTCTGTTAATAATACGCCAAATTATGCACTATAGTACACCTTGTCGATTATTAGCATTTCCACTGTCTGGTTGTCAGTTATCAGGTTTTTATGACAACCTTTAACTGTTGCATCCTATTGCTTTATTCACATTACGTGAGGTGTACTCGATGATCTGGTTCTGCTACCTCGATTTTCGAGTTAGTATTGATTACAGCGGTACTTTTACTAGCAAACTGAAGATGTGAATATCTGTGGGCCTTGCAGAGGTCCACCAAAGATAGTCACCCTGTTATTAAGGAAGTGTCAGATCTGAGGGGCGCTAATCTCCAGACATGCGTTGCCTTTTGCGGGTTGAGTTAAAAACTAATCAAGCTATTATTAGCCTCATGACACTTTTGACAAATCTTTCTTATGAATTATTCGACCTCCTCTTGCATTCTTTAAAAGAGAAATAACCGCACATGCGTTAAGAGACGAAATGCAAAGGGTAGCTTTGAGGTCGGATTGCTATTGCCCGTGTTAATAATAAAGATTTTTTTTTAGTGAAGAAATGTAAAATGGTTTCCGTGTTTACATAGCCTGATGTAAACACGCGGGAGGTTGGGAGAACACGAGATAAGCGTAGGAAACCACGACGCGAAGCTGAGTGGCTTCCAGCTTATCGAGTGTTCTCCCAACCTCCCAAGTGTTTACATCAGGCTATGTAAACACGGAAACCATTTTACATTTCTTTTATAAAATAACTAATGAAAGAGGAATGAAAACCGTGTTTACATACGCTCATGTAAAATGGTTTTATGGCCAATCAGAGCGCGCGTACTATTTGAATTATTTTATAATAATGTTTGGTGCACACTAGGATGTACACTAAGTAAACCACAGCAGTACTTACAGTGCACCACTTTCAGAGCTCCGTGGCTGTAGTAATTCGTTGTTTGATATTCTCTAAAAATCAACTGAGTAACAGATTGTTTGCCCGATTGATTGATTGATTGATTGATTGATTGATTGTTGTTGTTGTTGTTTTTTTTTTTTTTCAGCTAGCAACGATCCCAGATAAAATCTTCAAGTGGACGCTTCTTGGTATTGCGGCATGCAATTGTCTCATTTCTCTTTTCATTGAGGTTAGTGGAAAGTCATCTACTGAATTTGGCTGTTTGTTCGATAAACCAGACCAGTTCGTTTTATGAACTGCTACAGTTATTCTTGTACCACGCCATCCTTACCCTCCATGGACGAAAAAGGGTCCTTTGGCGAAGCCTAAGCCATCCCAGTTTCAAAAAGTTTGCATTTTTCTGGCAAAACACTATTTCAAACTGCTAAGTTCAATAGGAAGTGCATATTTTACTCTCACTCTATAATGACACTGTAAAACGATTGAAATCGTATCACTTGTATTCCTCATGTATGTTTAATTAAGGGAAACCGACAGTACTGGTCTAGCATTCATAGCTTACAATAGCAATTTATTTAGTAACATAGTAAAGTTATCACCCTCTCAGTATCTCAGTATATTGTGCGATAAAATCCACTGCTTATTCATACAAATCAATTCCATAAGTATCAGATGGGGCGAGTGGGTTTACTGATTGACCGTGTTGTCGGGTGATACTCCTTTGCGATATCGACATCATGGACAGTTATTAGTGACGAGCTATTATTAAGAGGACAAAGCGATGTATCAAATCCATTCTATTCTCAAAAGGCAAAACTGATCAATAATTCAGTTATGTTAAGTGCTCTAGTAAGTTCATGATTACCTATGTTCCTCATCTCCTCATCCAGATTTGCACTTTGGTCTGCTTTTTTCTTTGCAAATCGGGGGTTGGGGTCATACGTCAGTTTGCTATTTCTATTCAAGATTCTTACCTTTTTCCAAAGTCTGAAACGGGTCAGAAAGCACGTTGTAACAATTCTCAAAACTTTCCTCTATAATCGCTCGATTGTTTCAATTTGAGCCGACATTTTAACAAGATAGCCCCCTTGCAATCTTTCTTAAGTAGTTTTCACCGCCTAATTTAATATTTACTTCAGATAGCCAAACAAATTGCTGTTCAGCACCTAGACTAACAGGTTTTTCTTTAACCAGGAAATAGTTTGGAGGAATAACGCATTTCTTCTTTCCCACACTTTCAACGTTTCTTGACACAGCATTTTCTTTCGTTTACAAACAAAACATAAGTATTTGAATTTTGGGGCTCATGATGAGCAAATTTGTCAATCTCAGTCATTAACAATGACTTTACAATGATACAATCTAATAAGAGTGTCATGAGCGGTATTTTGAAATTTGCCATCGCTAACAAACGTGTATACCCCCAATTGCAAGAAATTCATTCAAAGAACATAAACTATGAATGATAAAGGGGCACGTAATCAATAATTATATTGCGGATCATTTTTACAGCTCGTAATTCTTAACAAATAGCAAATCTGCCCTTTGATGTATAGAAATTATTTAGGGCTCTATGTACTTCGATCTTAATGTTTGTTTGTTTTCTCTTCTGTGTACACAGATGTTCATTGTTCCGTCACAATGGCTGAAGAAAGTACTCAATCGTCTTTTTTGCAAAACTCGCCCAAAAAATTACTTCCGAATTTTGCAGCATCAACTTGAGCATGATTTTGACTGGCCTCCTTCTGAAAGCTGATTCTAAGTTAGTTAGACCTTTATTTGTATCTTCAAATTGAAACTTAGCTGGAAGTTCCTTGTGATGTGGTTACTAATTCCTGTTGGTTACATTTCTCTCGGTTTTAATGTGGCGATATTAACGACGAAACTGCACTTTATGTTACTAATTACAGCAGAACTTACCGACCAGACTCGTAGATCCTTTCTCTTAAATTTTATCAGAGGAGTGGATTCAGCTTTAGATTTGTCTGATTTTACAGGAAATGCAGGAATTCGCGTTTTGAATGGACCATGCTAATTTGAATCTCCAAATTTAACTAACCAGGAAGATGATGCCCATTTAGAGATGCCATGCAAGTTACTTGTGGTACAAGTTTGCATATATTCTCTATTAATGACATAATCTCAAGTTATCAGGGAAAGGTATAAAGCAAGCAAATTAAGTAGAAAAGAGAAAAGGCTTGCCATATGACAACATCAGAGGAAGCAACAGTATAGCCCTTTCATGAGAGTATGTTCCTGTATGAGAGGATACTAAGTCAGATATGGCATGCAAAGGTATTTCATAAGTCTTAGCGTGGACTATGTGTAACTATGCCCCCTCTATACGTATGAGAAATCGAATAAACGCGAATATGATTCGTGTCTTATCAGAGCGAGTTATGTTTTAAAGAATTTCTCAATTGAACAATCTTTAGTCAAATGCACTTTTAAAATTCTACAAAACATTACGAATTATAACAAATGGTGGAGTGTAGGAGCAGCTCTTGCGATTTTGTTGTTTTGTCCATAGATGCGTGCACATTACTGCGATCCCTGTTCACTGTTTTCTTTATACAAAAAAATTGTAGTAATCGTGACAGACAAACCAACTTTAATCCCGCAAACGACGTAAATTTGTAATGAAACTGTGGGGACACTTCGGTTTGGGGTATTAAAAGATGATGTGGTTTTATTAACTGAGTTTATGATGTAAATTGCCTATGATGAAATGTTTCTAAAGCCGAATTTCGAGCGTTACCTATTCGTCAGACCGAAGGACTGAAAGGCTAACGCTTGAAACGTCGGCTTTTAAAGGTTTACGGTCAATTTGCCACCACAACAAACTTGCCACCACAAAGCTCGCCACCACTAAAAGTCAAATCTTCACCGGTGGTGATTTGACTTTCAGTGGTGGCGAGTTTGTTGTGGTGGCGAACTGACCGGATACCCTCTTAAGACTCTTTGCGGTGGTCAAGTTACATTATCAACTCAGTTGATACAACCAAAGAAATTTTTTAATTTGATCTTAGCTCGGCCCTACCGGGCCATTTTCCTGTAACTAAGTTGTGTAGCGTTCGAAGTACCAACCAGAAAGGCTTAGGATCGAATCCTATTGGGAGCATGTGTATCTTTTATCTCCGTGTATGCCTGTGCCATTCAATGAATAACATCTACCTTCACTTAAATCTTCAAGCTCAAAATTTACCATCCTCGTTGACATCATTGTGTACAAGCATCACATATCGACCTTCATACCCACACAGTATGCAGGACGTTTGTCAACATGGACCTACAATCAGCTTCAAAATCAGTTTACACGTCATATTGAAAGAGTCCTATTTTATATGTAGAATAACACTCTTGACTCTACAACACCCTAAATCACAGAAAAGACTCCCTTCCCCCGTTCAATGTTGCCTGTGTGTGGCTAAAAGCTAATAGAATTACCATACAAAATTGTTTTGGGGGAAAGAGGGTTAACTTAAAATAGAGTAAAAGGGGGTTGAAAAGGCTAATGTGTCAACAATTGTGTCGCCGATTGTAGTTAAAAGGCCTCCGGTAGCTCAGTGGTAGAGCGTCTGGAGTACTAATCAGAAGGTCGTAAGTTCCACTCCTATTGGATGCTTTCGGGTTTTTTTGTCTCGTCTAGAAGCACATTCCTTTACTTAAATCACCAGGATTAAAATAAACCATTTTCATTTACATCATCATTGTGCAGAGGCAACACATATCGGCCTTCCTATCTTCCCAGTAAGCAGGAAGTTTGAAACCATAAACGTGCTTTAAAGCAAAGTGCTCTAGCTATGTATTGATCTGCCCAGTGTGCTGTAGCTTCATATAGACATTTATTAAAGCACAAATGTTATTTACAGTTAACATTTCCGATTCCAAAATGCTGGCGCAACGTCACACCACAAAAAATAAAAGGAATAATATCAAAAATTATTATTAACCAGCCCTCGAGATGGCGAACATTTTGGTTGTTTTTCGGCAAATTCGTTGAAAAGAGGTTTTCGATATAACGAACCCTCGATGTGAGAAACCAATTTTCCCAGCCCTTGGCACTTCGTTCAATCGAAGTTCTACTGTAACAATGCTACAGACCACCTCCCAACGTAGCGAGAAGTGGATAGGTCACACTATTAAGCTCTCTGTTAATGATGTTTAACTGAGTGTCTGAGAGGATGAGGATACAAAACTATACATGCCTTAAACCCGATCCATTTCTGTGAATCTCCCTCTTTTGTGTCAGTCAATTTCTATCCTGAACCATGAAGATTATTATAATTTATTTCATGCTACTGAGGTCGATGAACAAACTGACTCTATCTCCTGCATAGAGGTCAGTTGCATTCATTAAACTGGTCCCTTTCCCGAATCTTCCCCAGACTTCTTCCCGAGGAGATTTTGTATTCATTCCCTGGCTGTACACTTTATTCAGAATTACGTTCACGACCACTTTCACCTCAGTAAAGTCAGTGTTGAATGTCTTCTCACTATCTCTCCTTGTAACATTGATGCTCTCTTTGATGATCGTGTCAATTCCTTTTGCAATTGATAATGTCTTGCGATGCTGAACATGCTCATACATGAATTCCCAGCCATTTAAGAGAATGATCTCGCTTCATCGGCAAGTGAATCACTTTATACTCAAGCCAGTTGTTGCTCAGTACATAGCTGAGCTTTTTTGAATCAGATGTCTTCACAACTTTGCTGGCAGGTGTGAGTCTGTGTTCAAAAACGAGATCATTTAGAAATCCTTTCGAATCGAAGACTCAATAATCTTTCAAAGTCTCACGATCCAATGGAATTCTGAATTTGGTCCAGTAAATTGAACTCAGTTTGTTCTCTATACAACTCCGGAAGTCTTCTTGTCTCCAACATTGCATCTGATCTTTGAAAGATCTTCACACTGAAATCTCACCCTCAACATATTTTCTCTGTCATGCTTAGTAAAGAGGAGCTCTTCATAGAGCTTAGTCATTTGTACCTTGCAAGATTTATCCTGCAAATTTCACGGTTAATCTATAAAAGAGGGCTCTTAATACATCTTAATACAAGAGATAACTTATTTACCATCAGCCATTTGCTCACATTCCTTAACTCCTCGTTAATTGTTCATTCAAGGGATCTCAAATTCTTATCACCTAAAGAAAGTTAGTGTCATCAGCAAATAAGAAAAAGCTTAGTTTCTCAGAGGAGGTATAGATATCATTTATGTACAACAAGGACAGTAAAGGTCCTAAGACTGATCCTCGTGGGACGTCACTGAGACAACACTCTTTCTTGGATACGTGAGCGCCGACCTGAGTAGTTTGATGTTTACTACTCGACGGATTCCATAACGTTGAAGTTTTTGCAGTTTTTGCAGTAGGATTGAGTGGTTGACTGTGTCAAGAACTTTCTTTAGTTCAATAAAAATGCCTCAGGAGAATAGCTTATCAATATTGAGTTGGATCCTGTTGATAATATCAATGAGTGCGTGCTGTGTAGAGCATTTTTCCCGAAAACCATACTGATGACGGTACAATATACTGTGTTTATCCAGGAAACATTTTGAGCGATTACACATAAGTTTCTCAAAGATACGATTAATAATTGACGGGAGGGGGATTGGCCTGTAATTATTCGCGTCTAATTCATCCTCACTCTTGAAAACTGCGATAACTTTGGCATGCTTTAACTTCGAAGGGTATATGCCAGTTTCGATAGGACTATTCATAATTAGAGTCAAAGGCTTAGAAACAAGCTGACTAGCAGACTTAAGAATTCTAAAGGGGCAAGAATACAAGCCTGACGATTTATTTACAGGAAGATACTTTATTCCTTGCTCAACTTCACGAGACGAAACTGGATCAAAGGTAAAAGGTTCTGGGAACGAAATTTAATGCAGATAGCGAGAGAATTCTACTGAATTTGGAATTTTGGGTGCAAATTTATTCCCTATAGAAGCAAAATGTTTATTGAGAATATCAGGAATTTCAGATGGATCAGAAGAAAGGCTCTTATGATCTTGGCGTTTATTTGATCAATTTCTCGGCGATATGACGACATTTTCTCAAGCGATTCGTCGTTAAAATTTGCAAATTTTTGGTTTTTGGGCCATTCGAAGACGAATTTCGGCGGGGCACAATGTGTGCAGTATCAATGTCGTTAAGTGTAACATCAGCACCCATGGCATTAAAAAGTCGAATAGAAAGTTTAGCCGTTTGAAGAGCAGGTTCTCGCTTAGTCGGATCAATCTCCGGGACTATATTGTACTATATTATAACTATAATGTACCAAATCATCCAAGACTCCCGCCATCTCGCTGACTTGAAAGTTGAGAGACTCCCTAAGATTCTTTAGAGGATCGAGGTCTTCTTTAGCCGAACGGCAGAAGGCGGACAGGTCACCGTATTTGTTACTGACGACGCCTTGACTACAGCAAGATCTGGTGCTGACCTTTCTTCGTGCGATCTTAACGACTCCTGTAGACGGCCAATTTCGTTGCGTAAAGTTCTCAGCTCTTTCATCATAGCGTCATTCTGGTGCTGAGGAGCTTTAACTTTAGTGTTATTTCCTCTTCCAGACATATTCTAAGATTATTTTGAAACTAAGTACGGAGCTAACTGAAAACACGTCCTCTCACTCAGAGGTCCCTGGTTGCAGTGGAAACTCAGGTGACAGTGTTGTGTTTGATCAACGTGAGAATAGCAGTGAGAGGAAAGTTGAAGCATCATCATTCACGACCACTTCGATACTGTCAGTAGTGGGTATAGTTCTTTCACTGGTTGGACTCTACTATATAAAAAAGCCACCAGTAGAAGCCAGAAGCTTTGCAGCGAGTCGAAGACCGACTAGGTGCTCAATGAACTTTCAGTTGGAGGTAGAACACAGGAGTAAGACTCATGGATTGAAAATTATCAGGATTATTTTAAATAAAATAAAGTCTGATAATAAGCTCATGAAAACATTGACGGATGCCGTAACCATAACAGGGATCACAGCTGCAGCTGGATATGGATGGATCGCAAAGTAGTTGATCAAAGAGCCAATTACTTCTAATCTGAGGTCTAATTTCATGAGTTATGCTAAGTTCAATGTAGTTGTCTTAGCTTCTCTTGCAAAAAAACAATATCTTGAAGATAACAAAATTTTGCTTGATTGTTAAAAGTGGCTAGCAGATTCACAACAGTTGTTCTAAAGTTTGGAGACCTCTAGTTGCTTGAGCGAACAGCTTCATTGCTTTCTTTGGGATTGGCTGCTAGTCGTTTCGAGTGAGCTATTTCAAAATGGAAAGTACGTTTTCAAGAGTTTACGATATTTTATTGCTATTGGAAGGATTGCATGGAGTAAAGAAATTAGCATAAAAGGCTAAATTTTATGAAGATGTTGCAAAACTTTGGTTAATGAAGTATGCCATTTGGCAGAATTACTTGTTTGCTCCCAAACATATTGCGAGACCGACTTTTAACGTTTAATCTCCAAATGCAGTTCATCGAGCTGATCCTATTTTCATTCCTCAAGACAGACTCCCGAGAGGAAAGAATTTTTACTGAAGAGAGGACCACTGAAATGGCCTTTAAGCTCTTCAGGTTGATCCTGGACATGAATTCATAGGTGATGTCACAATTGAACTTTGGGTGAACGTAAACTTCAGTTTTCAGTACAGCTAGGAGATGAACTTCACATCTAAAAAGAAATCGACTGAACGGGTGAAAGGTTTCCAGAAGTTGTCTCAGCTTTGAATCGCGAGGTGACTCGATTGACTGGAAAGAACCTGTCGATGCCCTCAATGGCATGTTGGCTTGAGTGAGAAGGGACTCGATTCTTCAAAGAATGTGACGTATTTGAATGCAGCTGGTGAGTTTGAAAGTGGACAGAGAAGAGCGACAGATCCAATCTGGTCTCTGAAGGTCTACAACGTTAGTAGATCAATTATGAATGGAGGAGAGTCAGTTCATTACTATCGGAAAGATGGTCCAAAGCGTGGATTCGTTACACAACAGCTTCAGATAGTTCCTCCTAGAACTAAGCTGCCGCTTGAAGGAATTCGCTGAGTCATTTTGATTTTTCACCACTCAACTTCGGGGAATCGAAGAAGCAAAATAACAAATTGTCCCAGAAAACCCATTCTATAACCTTAAGAAGGTCGTTGCTTCGAAATCTATGGGCAGCACTCGGATTATATTATTTTTATCTCCGAGATGCCAGTGTCATTCACTGAATAACATCTTTTTCACCTAACTCGCCAGGATTAAAATTTACCATCTTCGTTTACATCATCATTGCTCAAAGGTAACCCATATTGACATTCCTATCTTTCAAGTATGGTCTTTTTAATCATTTTATGATAAAAATATGAATACACTGAAAATAGCCTTAAAAATTGCTTTTTAAGCTGTCGAACTACATCGATACATTATTTTGTATCTGAATGTATTACACTGATGACTTTCACTACTTTCATTTTTGAGTGTACACACCAACATCCTGTTTAAGTAGTAACTTCTTCGCAAAGATGAATTTCCAATTTACCATTTCAAACTAAATTATTGTAAAGAACTTTAAATGAAGGCTTGATTGTTCAGTTGGGACGAATTTCTCTGTCGATTTTTTTTCACCTGACATTAATAAGGTATTTCGTATTTTATTTCTCAATTGCTAAACATCACGTTAAGGTTTGCTAGTGTTCTTCTTAGAAGTAACTTTCACCAAATTTTACATTTGTGTTCAGGATTCATTGGTGAACCCATAGGACAATTGAACACCTTTGAAAACTCCGGGAAATTAATGAGAGTACCATTCACCCTGCAACGAAAGAGGAAAGCAATAATTGTCGGAAATAAAGAACTGACCGTGTAAAAAATGGGCTATAAACGCAAATTACTTCTTTTTACCTCCATGGCATGGGACTATGATCGAAGTATTTCGTTGCTACACGAGCAGCTCTATCGCTGTAATGGCTACACCAGTTCTGTTGGAAAACAAGAAGTTGCCAGTTCACTAAAGTTAGCAGACAAAAATCCAAGAGAGAGAGGCATCTTTGCTTACTCTGATATTATTTTGCCTATAGAAGATACAGCGCTGATTTTAAGGGCCTAGGCTATAGATTATATTTGCCGTAAGCTACGGTAACTGAATGTATTTTAGTTTTGTGATGTTAAGTTTTTAAAAATCTTTTATAACAAAAGTAAAACAAATTAAAAGCGCGGTCAGTTGACTGTTTCTTAATATAATGCTTTCAAATCACCATCGGAGGGCCGTAATTCATGATTTGGAGGTGCTTATTTGATTGTCCACTTCTGAAACAAATGTTAACAATTGGGGTAATTAGTTGCTACATTGTAGACAATTTTTTCGCATCACTTCTGAGAGTCAGAATATCGTTAACTCTAAAACTTATTTCGTTCCCTTAAGACTTACGTCAAATATGTTTTCAGAAGCGAGCATTCTTTGGCACATTTATTTTTCACTTTAAGCTGCAGAAAATCGATATCATTCGGGATGTGACTACGATGAAAACGAAACTCGCCATAAATTCAATTGCAACGCGGTCAGCTCAAGCCCAGGGCAAAAACTGAGGAAGAAACTGCTATGACACGAAGGACAAGTGAAGAAATGATCATTGCAGGTGAACTGTAATTTAGGCAATTGCAGGAGATTGCTGTTCACCTGCGAGAATCTTTTCTTTTCAAGTCAGAATGAAACCTATTTCAATACAATGTTGTTATACACTAAGATTTATAAAAATAAAAGAATCGATGAGGAATCACGAAAGTTTAGGACCACAACTGAATTTGAGTCCTTTGTGTCATTGCTACTGAGAGATAACACTTCAGAAGCAATGAGCTATCAGCTACCAATGTGTTGATTCCAGTCATCCATGGTTATGGCCCGAAGTGAAGGCAACTCCCTTCTACCAAGTGTTATTTCATGAAAAGTAAGATCACCCAACTTCTCTCGAAAGATTCTGATTCTAAGATTTAAAAGAATTATTTTTCTTCTACAGACAATCTTACCCTTGCAAAACTAATGAAAAAAACCTGCTCGTTTGTCAGCATCATACCAGGAAGCCTAGGTTCCTCCCAATGGTCCCTAACCCACTTCCGGTATGCCTGTGAAATGTAAATGAGCTTCGTCAAAAACCAATCAGAACGATAACTGCCTGTAGAAAGTGCTTTGAATGTTTTCCGATACTTAGAGGTTATTGCGCAGAAGGGTGAAGGGCATCGTCATAAGGAAACAATTATGTAGGCAACAAAAGCATCAAATTGGATTCACTTTCATTACTTCGTTCATGTGTCAATATTTTCTTTTTCTTGCAAACAAACCCAGAACTCAGCAACTTAAGCCTCCGTTGGGATCTTTTTCTTGCAACCACACCCAGATCTCAGCAAAACTCTCTTAGGACCAAAATAATTTCACGATCTGGCACTAATATTGTCCATTTTCTGGAGTTCTACGCATCCAAATGTTTTTTTTTTAAGCATAATTCGAAAGTACATGATTTCTCTGTTGCCACATGAGATGAAAAGCCTGAATAAGACCTTCACCCTAGTCTCAGCAGGATTTGAAACATGTCAGAATCGACAAAGGAGACTGCTTTTTGAAGAAATAAATTGGTCATGTGACAGTCACGTGACATGCTGTCGTACCATGTGAACTCTCAAATTGCAGGCAGGTACATGCTCATCATTTTTCCAGAAGGGTTTGGGGCACTTCGGTAGAAGATTAAATTTGAGGTCAATTTCTGTTTGAGCTTCGTTTCCATGCTGAGTGCTGAGTGTTGGAGAGCGCGGAATAAAGATTTTTGAATTGTGCAACATCGTAAAAATCCATACAAGGTATCAATGAACGCTTTTCATTCAACTAGTTTATTCTTGAGTTTCTCGTTACCACGTTGCCACTGATAGTGTAGCTCCATTTTCTGCCTATAAACACTCGCACAACTCACAATACTCCATTTTACAGTTGCACGCTTGGTTGCCAAGTCTGAACAGGAGTGAGGCTAAGGATGACCTTGTTATGATACAAACCTTGCTGCTTTCAAATGTAAATTATTTTGTCATCGTGCTAACTAGACACTGGTCTTTATGATACAGACCTTGCTGCTTTTCAAATGTAAATTACTTTGTCATCGTGCTAACTAGATACTGGTCTTTATCACAACAAGGTCACCTTCAGCCTCCCTCCAAATCAAAGGCTTGGCAACTAAGTACGTAACTGTAAAATGGATTATTCCTTCAGTTTCCCTGACGAAAGGGCAAACGCTCGAAACGTCAGATTGAAACTCTTTATAGTGCCTAATTTGCATTATCAACTCAGTTGATAAAACAAAATTGTCTTCATAGGGAAAATAATTCGTCAGTTACCTCAAAAGCTACGCGAACACCACCATTATCAGCTATGTTTTCTGACAAAGTATTCTCGCCATTCACCTTTAAAGTTTAACACATAATCAAGTGATAAGTAATTTTTTAAGCCTTCAGCATCACTGGTGGTGGAGTTGAGACACACCAAAACGGTAGGATTAACTACATCTTGGAGAGAGAAAACGTGCCTCAAAAGAAACGATTCTTCGGTAGTGGACATGTTGAATAGTGAGACTCCTCACTTTCAGCACATTTTCTTTGTGCGTACACTGTTCCTTTACACCACCCCCTATACAAGTATACATTAGTTATGTCCGACAAAAGCATGGAAGCCGAAGGCAATGAGACGATAATCATACTTATTAATTCATGAAAACTGCCTCTCTATAAGTACTTTACTGTCTATTTGAAATCTAACCCTTTGTATTCCATATTATTTTAAGAACAAAAATGTGGCTTCAATGAAATATTATTCTTTAGTATAAAAAAGGGGTAAATCAAAGTTTATTTACTGCTTTGTTACCTGGTTCCCATAAAATGTATAATTCGAGTACTGATCGACCAAACAACGAGACCTTTCTTGAAAGTTAGCGAGGGTTGAGTTACTCCACCATCTTCTTCTATTACCGTCAATGTCGTAAAGCTTTCCTATAAGAATAGAGGTTTTCTTCGACTGTCAGTCTAGGCCTCATCTAAGTGTACATTCGATGGTCTGATCAACAGTATCTTCAAATCATACTATAGTATGTATGAAAAAACTACCCGTTTCTGATTGGCTGAAAACGATTGCATTTTTCATGTAACAGAGTAACAAAGTTGTAACACGAGTGTAATTACAAATAGCGCGCGGGCTGTCAAAATTTTGTCTATCCTGACTTTCTATGATGCTTTTTCTTTAAGTAAATCATTAATAAACAATCACCCACAAACCTGTATCATCAAATCCGTGGGTAATTTCATGGGCCATGACTCCTCCAATAGCACCATAGTTCATTGCTCTTAAAATACACCAGAAAACAAGAGTAATGATTTATCTTTGTAAACAGCCCCTGCAGGTTGTGCAGAAGATCAGGCGAGGGAGCAAAATGGTCACAGTTTTGTTAAACTTGAACTGCACAACTCAATCCTACAGTACAGTGAGAGATATAAATGCGTTGTTTCATGACTTAGGGCACAGGGAGATAGGCCGGCCATTTGTAATAGAAAAAACAGTCAGGAAAACCAGATCAGAAAAAAACGATCACAAAACAAAGTGCAAACGATGAACATCGTGATTTGCATTACCTTGGATACAACAGGTTATAAAATGGTGGTTGCAGAATAGCAGCTGGAAAGACTGAAATGAAAACAAATCTATGTATTTCAAGTGGAAAAGTAAATTTAAGAATACAATTTTGTACATATCTATGCTAAGTGCACATTTTCTCTTTTCTGAGCCTAAATCATAGTTTACGATATTAAATGACAATATTCCATCCTTTCCTCCCCCTATTTAACGAAAAAAAGTTTGTTAAGCTTCAAGTTCAACGGTTTATTTAAAAAAAACAAAAGACAAACGTTCATGATTTTTCCTTACCCATCTTATTCTCGTTGTAGGCGTAAAATGCATTAAGCATTGTTGGCGGAAAAGGCCATCTAAAAAGCACAAAGAACAATTTAGAACTTAAGGTTTCTTGCTAGAGCTTCTACGTCTTAGCATAAAGTCCGATAAGCACTTGACTCTGAAATTATTTAAGGAATTTTCAATGTTTAGTACGCCTTGGCCAGTCTTGCTGTGCTTGTAATGGAATGAAGTATAAGCTCGTGAGAATGCATGGGTAGTAGCATTGAACGAGCCTGAGGGACGATTTGGGATATAAATTTGCGAATCACTAAAAATTTTTGGCGATTCATCCTTGGAGTTTACAGGAACTTTACAAACAAATCGCCTTCATGCATTGTGGTACACCCTCTTCCGATCGACTGCAGAAGTTACGCCAAAGGGAACTGAGCTCAAGCGGAAGGACACTGACATTATAAGAATTTCTAAAAATTTCTTACTCAGTCTTGTCCACGGCTGTTCCAGCTTTTGCAAGTTTGTCGATATTCTGACGCTTTGTAACTGAAACATCATTGTTGAAATATGTTTTTGGGTCTATGGTTACCTTAAAAACAACGACCAAGGAAACGTCTTTAAACACCCTATTGGACTTAATCAGTTTCCTTACATCAAAACACCTGTTTTGATGTGAACTTCCTAAATTTTCTTCATTCATGTATTTGTAAGTTTTTTTTTCTATTGTTATATCCGGTTTATCTGAAAAAATCTTTAACCCTGCAAAGGCCTCTTTTAGGAACGATATAGGAAGACACATATTATATACACTGCAGAGGTAATTGGGATTTTAAGAAAACACCCCTCAATTTAAATGAAATATCGAAATCAGCGCTATTACTTGCTTTTTCTTTCAGAGGTGAAATTTAAAAAAAGGTTGAGTTAAGAAGTTAAATCGAGAGCATGAAACTTTGCCAACCACTTCTTTTCTATCTCAGTTATAAGACCAGGCTAAGGTTGTAACCGCAGTCGTACTTCGAAGAGAAGCTATAATCAAGGAACGTTGGGAGGCGAGGAATTGCGACCGTCACCACACCATCAGTCGACTTCGCTGCAACATTACAACCTCCTGCATTGCTTTAAATTAGAACAATTAGTATCAAGGCGAAAAAAACATGGAGCAATACATAGATTCTTGGATAGTGCTTAGTCTCACGTTATATAGGTTGCGAGTAACACTAGTGAAGTGAAGTGAAGTTTGCTGAAGAAATTCTAAGAAGGTATAGTATGAACGAAATATATCGGATAAGTATTCCAATTTAACGCTTAAAAAACGTACCTCTTTATATCTTTGGGTCATATATTCAACGTCCATTATGTAATCAGGATATCCTACGTTTTCGATTAGAGCCTCCGCCTACGAGCAAACCATGCATTCGTGAATATTCAATTGGTCGAGTATTCAAAATATTCATTCATTGCAATCATCCATTGAAATCAATTTGAAGGAAAACGTCCAATGAAAAACATCAAAAGGGCACTAATACGATAAAGAAAAGGTAGTCAATAGTCGCAAATAATTGAAAACGGAATAGAAGTACATACATCTACCAACGAAACTAAGTCGTGACAAATATACAGACGGTAGCTTTGGTCTGGAGGTTTGCCAATGGTCGTCACGACTTTGTCGTATCCGTAAAAGAGAAGAGTGTGTTGGACTGAGCCGTTAGAGTCGGTTAACTATTGTATTTTCATTCCCTCTGAGCGATAACGTTCATATCTGTATCTGAGGTTTACGAGACCATCGTATCTAAGATATTATGGAAAAAGTACAAGTCGATTGTACCTAGTATCACTAAAATGGAACAGAGAGCAGTCTAGCATTTCAGGGACCTCACCTTCTCTACGGCCACCTTCTGTGTTTTTTCATCCATCCAGTCTTGTTTTCCAATGTTGGAGATGAATGCCGCGCGGATGTTTCCAATGATGTCCTTTGCCTAAATGGATTAGTATGAGACTATTTAACAATAAGAGACGAAGAGACTCAGTTTATCACTCTCGCCTGTAATTTTCTTTGACTGCCCTTTTCACTCACCAATTCCTTGCTGTCACCAAAGAACTTTTGATCAAGGAAGACTTTCGAAAGGGGTATTCCAAATTTCTGTGAAGTTGCCATGAGACAGAGCTGATGCTGGTCCGAGTCACTCCAGTAATTGAAAGCTTGGAGGTAATAATATTTGAACAATTCGACAAAATCGCTGCTTAGTTGTAGAAACTTTAACTTGACCACTCTCCACATCATATAGTTAGCAATAGTTCTAATAAGTGAAAATAAAATGGACAAAAAAAGAATATGGAAAGGTGGGTTAAATCCATAAGAAATATAGAAAATACTATGAATGAGATAGAGCACGAAGATTTTGATCTAATGAGCGAAAGCAGAAGCTTATGATCTAGAAGTGTCTAAATCCCCTATATTGTCAAAACTACAAGCTTGGGTTAATTAGGCGGCCAATCAGAAACAAGGGTGCAAATTTTGCCCAAATATGGAATTAGAGGTTAAGCAGTGTTTTCCTTCATAAAAACCCACAATTGTTTACAAAGAGGTATTGAGCGACAAGCGATCTCCGGTCAAGTCTCAGAAATTATATCGGCCGCTCTTCGAGTGAACGACTAAGAGCGTGCTTTATGAGAGTAAAGAGCATACTAACGACACTGTTGTTCGCTTTGGAAATAAAGTTTGTTTTGAAAATTGAAAGTAATACTAGGGGAATTTAACGGATTATTTATTGTAAAATTAGTAATAATCAAAGATTAGTAAACTGCGTTCGATCTCCAGTAAAAGCTTTATTGTGCTGATTGTGCAGAAAAAAATCGGTGTCTTAAGCTCAAGGCGGCCAAGAAAATATTTTCACATGAGATCGATCGAGGCTATTTGTGCCACATAGCCAGCCAGCCAATCCAAAATGACGCTCAATGCTTGAAATCGCATGGCATCACGATCGATCCCCTTGGGACTGGTCCATAAAACCCTCGAGAGTGATTTCCGTAAAAACGACTCGATTAGAATGCGTTCTCCTTCGTCGAACGCTACAAATAGAGAAGTCTGGACTGTGCTCCGTTCTCTTGTAAAGCACTTAGGAACACTTAGGAAGCGGCTTGAGCATTCAAGAAGCTGGGAGAAACACTCGACTACGTATTTCTCCCCACTTCTTGAGTACTCTGGCCAATTCCTGCGTGCTTTACAAGAGAGCAGAGCATTGTTAAGGCTTCTCTATTTGTTGAGTCAAGTTTGCAGTCTGAAAACTGCATTATCATAACGTATTCCTGATTAGTACTGAGGTAAAGTTTCTTTCATTACATATTCAGCAGTCATTAAAGATAAACAACTCCATATTAGGAAGTAAATTCTGATTGACTAGTCTCACACATTAATAAACCCAGCTCTCGGACATACATAATTACTTTAGGCTTGTAAGCTTCTGGCGAAAGTCATGTTATAAGGAATCTCTAACACTTGTTCATTTAGTAAAAATAAGTAAATGAACGTTGTTGTAAGTTCATACAAATCAGTTCTGAAAAACCCACTTGGATGTAACCTATGTGTACTGTGTTGTACACCAATTATGACACTTTAATTTATGAGTTTAATTTCCAAGGAAGAATACTTATTGCTGGACATTGTTAGCGCCACGCAGACAGTTGGCCGGCAAATTACTTTGTGACTAACATTGCTCGAATGTGTTAGGATGGAAAGTATTCGGGTGCTACAAACATCACGGGAGATCGTAGACACAGAAAAAAAAGGCCGGGAAAACTGTTAGGCGCCTTTTTCGAACGACCAAAGGAGAGAAGAAACGAGCTAAGATACTGAAGAAAAGTCAACCAACTCGAAACTTGTTCATTATTCTTTTTGTTCAAGTATTAGAAATATTTAAAACGAATAGGAACTATTTTGTTGTTTTAAGTGCGAGTGATCAGTTTTCTTTTCAATAGGCCCAACGAAGAAAAAGAAGATGACAAATATGAATCTCTTGAATATCTATTTATTGCAGTTACGATATCTCACCTTTTGGGTGTAATGCTCAGGAGTTTGACCAGTCTTTTTAAATATTCCAAAGAATAGACCACGGCTTTGGTTTGGCTGTTAACATGAAATGTATTATCCTCCATCGCTACTTGCACATATTTCGTCCAGTTGAACTTGGGAGAGTAAACAAAATCAATTCGAGATGAAGGTGGTATAAACGAAAGATCACTCTACATGAATACTCTTTGATACTCACGAAGTCACCGGTATACTCCTGTATTTCTAATAACGTGAGCTTCTTGTAAGCTTCTTCAAAGGATGGTCGTCTAGATCTTGGGGTAGATATCTAAGATACGAAAGGTGAAAAAGACGTGGAAAGATCACATTTGTGTTTGAGGTACAATCGATTCTGACACATTTAATGAATAGGCAGCAACCTAAATATGCAGGACTGGAGACCTTATTCCAAATTTAAGAATTGGTCTATGCTCAGCGAGCGTATATCGTGTTATAGATGTACGCGGGAAGTTTGGTGAGCACGAGAGAAGCGTAAGAGTTGCTCGAGGCTCGGTCCATAGCTACTCTTGCTTCATGAGAGATTTTCATTACTTACTATTTCTTTGCGAGTAAAATAGGGCGGGTTAATGATCTTTTCGTCTACGAGTCGTTTTGCTGACGACCAGTTCATTAACGAAGTTAATCATACTCTAACTTAAGATTATTCACAACATGATACCATACATAGTGCTACTTCATAACATACAAATCACAAATTCCGCATTATGTTTACGGTGCGGAAAACACCAAAGTGTTTAAGGACTTAATTAAACCCACCACAGTCTACATCCTAGCTTACCACTGACACAATATCACTGCTGTCTCCATATGTCCGACTCCATACCAATCAAGATTTTGAGAGACACTGGAGCCTCGCAGTCTTTTTTCGGTTGAGTGACACTTTGGTGTTTTCTGAAAGTCGTCCACTGGTGCGAGTGTTCTAATCAGAGGAATCAGTGCGGAGTATACTCCAGTGCCACTTCATATAGTTTACCTAATATTGTGTCTAGGCTTGTGAAATTTGGAATACAGCTTTTGTCACCATTTACCAGGGAGTGCACCTTATCCTCGGAAATGACTTTGCAGGAGACAAAGTAGTTATTAATGCTATTGTTAGCGAGAAGCCCAGTTCAGAAAAGTATCCAGACCCAGTAGAGAAGAAAATTCCTGGTCTATACCAAGCGTGTGTTGAGACGCGAGCCATGAGTAAGTGGAAAGAAACCAGTGACGAAAAGGTAACATTAGCGGACACCGTCATCAGCCAAGTCTTTGAGGGTGAACGACTGAATCCCTCTATTTATGAGCCAGTACAAGTCTTTTCTGAGAAAATTTTAATGAAACAGGTTGAAAAGATGTCAACCTCTTAGCTCATTGCAGAACAGCATGAAGACCCGGAAGTTTCACCTATGTTTTCAAGAAGTGTTAGAGAAAGGGAAGTCTCGCAAAACCCCACCCGCTACTTTACGGATGTTCCCGCTGCACGCGAGTCAGTACAGGAGTCCATTCAAGCTTGTGTTTAGGCACACTGTGAGAGGACCGGTAAAACTACTTAAAGAGAAGTTATTATCTATTTATTTATTACAATGTAATGGAAATTAGCAAAATGAAATAATTACCTATAACAAAGGAAATGCCCTAAGGATGGTCTGTAAAAGAGTTCAAGACCATCCATCCTCAGACAGACCACCTAACTAAATGGATAGTTTAAAAATATAATTAATATAATCAATTAAAATCTGATATAAAAATTCTAAAATAAGTGACTATGAGTTTTCGGTAATTCGACCAGTGTAGTTGGTATTCATCGAGAAGTTCCTCACGCCACGCCTAAAACTTGAGATACTAGACACTGAAAAAATGTGAGTGATTCCACATATCAACGATAATATTTAAAACAACTAAACTTAAAAGTGTTTGTGCGAGCATAATTCTTCTTCAAAGTATGTCCATCTTTCTCTCAAAGGCAGATCATTAATAAATATCACAAAAAACAAGGGGCCCAGGATGGATCTCTGGGGTACCGCTGAGGAGACAGTGTGCCAGTCAGAACTTGCCCCATCTATTACTCCCTGTTGCTCACGATTCATTAAGCAGTCCCTGTACCAGTTCAGGAGGCAACCAGACACACTAAAGTTACATAACTTCTGTTGTAAGATTACATGAGACACTACATCTGACTTAGCTAAAATGTTATGGACTTCAGAGGCTGTTGTTGACACTTCCAAAGGTAGGTTAGAATGTGCCACCTCTTTTTGTAATCCCGCAAGATCAACACAGTTAGGTATGAACACGGAAGGAAAAAATTCATTAAAATAATGACGCCTTCTCTGCTGGATCACTAACAGAATTACATTTATACGTGACAACTGACAGTACTGATCTCTTCAGATTTTCGCTCCAAGCTTTAAGAGCTTGTGAATTAGTCAAAGCTAATCTTAGTTCTACTCAGAAGTCTATGAAAGAAAAGTATGATGTACATGCTGTAGAACGTGACTTTAAGCCAGGTCAAAAGGTTCTTGCATTGTTGCCAGTACCCAGTAACAAGCCTTATGTAGAGAAAAGTATTCATTTAGTTAAAGAGCTTACAAATGTTAATGTAGTTGTTTCTGAGCCCAAAGAACTGAATAGCGAACTTAGTAGTAGTCATCTTAGTCCCACTAACACAACAAAACTCACAAACTCTAATGTGCTGCGGAACTTAGACTCTAAGCTGTCACACCTGGAAGAGAGCCGACGCCAGGACCTGAAAAGGTTACTCCAAGAGTATAAAGAGCTGTTTCCTGATGTACCTTCCAGGACAGATCAGATTTACCATGATGTGGATGTCGGTGATGCTGCTCGTGTAAAACAACACCCGTACAGGCTAAATTCTAGTAAGCAACAATATCTCAAAAAAAGAGATAAAATATTTGTTAGAGAACGACTTTCTTGGACCAAGCAGCAGTTGTTGGGTTCTCCATGTATACTCGTTCCTAAGCCAGACGGAAGTTACTGTATGTGCGCAGACTGCAGAAAAGTGAACAACGTGACCAAGACAAACACCTCTCCTATCGTAAGAATGGACGACTGTATTGACAAAGCTGGAAAAGCTAAGTATGTAACGGAATTCGACCTTCTAAATGGATTTTGGCAAGTTCCTTTGACAGAACGCGCCAAAGAGATTTCAGCCTTTGCAACACCAGAAGGACTGTACCAATACAAAGTCATGCTCTTTGGTATGAGAAATTCACCTGCAACTTTCCAGCGCCATATCAACAAAGTCACCACAGATCGTGAAAATTGTAAAGCATATATTGATGATGTGATTATTTTCATTGACATTTGGGAAAAGCACTTTAAGTGAGTTTTTCAAGAGATTGAGTGGGGCTAAGCTGACCATAGATCTTTCCAAAAGTGAGTTTGGCCAAGCGAAAGTCACTTATTTGGGGCATGTCGTTGGACAAGGTCAAGTAAAACCAGTTAGTGCCGAGGTGGAAGCGATGGCTAACTTTCCACGACCAGAGAACAAGAAACAACTCATGCGTTTTCTTATTATGGCCGGCAACTATAAAAGGTTTTGTTTTAATTTCGCCTCTGTTACATAACCATTAACGCAAGTACTCAGTAAGAAGGTGAAATCTGTTTGTAGTAACCAATGTGAAAAGGCGTTTGAGGAATTAAAAGCTATGTTACAGAGTGCCCCTGTATCGACAGCGCCTGATTTCAGCTCCTCGTTCAAGTTTGCCGTTGATGTAGTAAGCTTCTGGAAGGTTCCTGAACACTTTGTGAATACATATATATAAAGACTCACTTATGTAGTAATAGTAGTTGTTGTTGTCGGAGCGAGACTGTTTTGAAAGCTATACCCAGAGAGAGTTACTGCGGAAGATTACTTATTTCAAGGAACTTTGGAGACAGCAGCGAAACTGTATTAGTTGTAAGCTAGGACAAAGACTGTGGTGGGCTTAGTTAAGTTTATTAACGATAAGTATTGTGATGCCTTTAGGAGTCGCTCCTTATTAGGAATATCACTGGTTGTTTAATAAAGTAGTTGAGTATGTGGGATTGTAATGTTTTTCTGTCGGTTAGATTCATACCGTAACAAAGGTTTCATGCAATATTTACTTGTCATTATCTGTGTTCATTCTCTTGGGATAAGACTTATTTTAGTTTTGAAAGATGGGCCTTCAAATATTTTACTGGCTCCAGGAAATTTCTTTGAGTTCGTGATACAAAACTCAAAACAGAAATAATTTTAGGCCGATACTTACTTGAGATACCAACGAAACCAACTGCGCGATATTATACAGAAAACACCACACTCAGACATTGCATACAGCAGCCTCCTACAAAGTACTGCAGTTTAACTACAGCAATTACACTTACCAGATAAAGCTACTTAAGTTAAGTTGAACTACCCTAAACTGCATTTCGTCACCTACAGAAATCAAACTAGGTACAATATAAAACCCACTTCACATTCGTTTATTCACTACTTCACGGGTTTATTTGGAACCAACATAATGACAAGCTCCCGGTTGGCTTGTTAGCTCAGTTGGTAGAGCAGTGCACCGGTAACGAAGAGGTCATGGGTTCAAATCCCGTACAGGCCTGAATTTTTTTCAAGCCCTATTTTCACTACTGCTCAATTGGTGTTCATTACTGCGAAGATCGCTTTCATATTCACGTCTTCATCCGCAGTTCAAATATATGACTTTCATATATATTTACATTCGTTTACAATATATGCGTTATGTCTTCAGTTTTATGCTTAGAGGACAATAATATTAAACGTATCATCTCTTGTTGCCAACAAACCAGCGCTGAACAGCCTGACAGTGATTTTGTTATGATAAGAACGCGAGAGAAGTAAGACTTACTTTAGTGGAAAAAGGATGTTTCCAAGGTCATGGAAATATTGAGCACGATATCAAAGAAGAAAAAGAGAGGCAGAGGAAAACTCAGGCCAGCCTTGCATTGCCAATAACTAACCTTTGCCAGCTCTTTCTCGAACTCAAACGTCTTTAACAGATCATCTTCTGAATCTTCCCCAGCTCCAAGTTTGATGGTCAAATTCCTCATCAAATCTCTATATGCATTACGAACCTAAAAATGTAAGAATATAAAGCTATAGATATAGAAAAAAGCTTGAGAAAAAGAAACGGAGCGGAAAGTTTTGCATATAAGAAAGCTGCCATTTTATGGGGGGTGCCACTTAACTACAAGTCTGTTGCTAAGGAAGACTTCAAACCCCCTTAATTTGGTTCCATGACCCCGGTGGGTATCAAAGTTTGTTCTATTTAAATGATTCGAACCACGACCATATTTGGTGCGTCACGAGACCACAACAAAAAGGAGCGTGTTCAGTCAGACAAATTGGATCGTCAACTTCCTGTGAGGAGATACGGATTTTTTGAAATCCGCTTGATTGGAGACTGGCACTACCAACATATGTTCATTTTTACCGCGATCAATTGTTCGGTGGAGAGGATAGTTGGTTTCTGGATCATTTCTCCAGGCAAGAATTTTAAAATAACAGGTCTGAACTGATTGAAATTCGTACCTTTTATTTACGCTGACACATCAAATTTTTATCAAATATTAAGCAACCGCGCAACCATTTGCACTTTGTTTCGTCTTTTTTACAACGCTGTGACTAAATGCCCGGTAGCCGGGTACGGTCTCAAATAGACTAAATTCCAAGGCAGTCAGAAATTTTCACAAAATTTCCACCGAAAGGTTCTTTCAAACTTCTTAGAATATCAGATGTTGTTTAGAAATTTCAAACGATTTCAAAATTATCTTAGTTGTTTCGCAGACAAATTCTCCGAGCTTATTCATACCATAATATTGCTCGGTTGTCCACACTGTAAGATTGTACATTTATGATCAGACTGCCGAGCACGGTCTCGAATAGACTAAATTCCTGGCAGTTGGAGATTTTCACCTAAGAGCTACTAAATGGTTCCTTGAAACTTCTTAAGAGTATCAGATGTTTGGGTAGAAATGTCAAGCGATTCCAAAAAAAAATTGTTTTTTGGTGGACAAATTCTCCGAGCTTGTGCATACTATTATATAAATACGTTTTAGAATGTGACTGAAAGACCAACATTTCTGAACAAACATCGAATATACTCAATAGGTTTGTAAGAAGTTTTTAATATAATTTTTTGGTACAAATTTTTAACTGCTGGGCATTTAGTCCATTCGAGACCGTGCCCGGCAGTCTGATAAGAAGCGTACAAGTGTCGACAATCGCGTGAAATTAAAGTATGCTCAAGCTCGCGGAATTTTTCCACTAAAAAGCTAAATTAACTTTTGGAATCACTTAACATTTCTAAACAAGCATCTCATATTCTTAAGGAGTTTGAAAAAGCCTTTCGGTGGAAATTCTGTGAAAATTTCTGAGTGCCGAGTATTTAGTCCATTTGAGGCCGTGCCCGACGGCCGGGCATTTAGCCACAGCGTTTTCACAATGAAATGTTGAATCGGTTATAACCAAAAGCAAACTGAATCAATTTTTTGGAGTTTAATTATCCACTTTTGTTGTGTGAGGTAATTAAATTTGTTTTCACACTCAACATCTCAGAGTTGCTTGGCGATGTGGTAGCTAACGGAGGAAACATTATGGCTGCTCGAACGGATTTCATAAATCAGCTTTTGTACCCATAAAGGTCCTAGGAAAGCGAAGAAATTTCAAGGGAAAATTTGCCAGTAATCCTTAAATTTTCAAGAGAACCGTCTGTTTTTTCTTTTGTGGCTGTACTTTTTCGAGACCATAAACCGCTAGTGAGACACATAAGTTGATTTTGCATGGCACTTTTGGCCAGACAAGTTACGTTTGTATTTTCTTTTGGTACTGGAGATAAAACTCACGCACTGTTGACAACAGGGCATTTTCCAGTGAAAAGCAAAACTTTGGGAGCTGATGGATTTACATATTCTTTTTCGTGGATGAAATTTTGATTTTCCCGCCATGTTTAACAAACGGCCGCGGTAGGCACAAAATTCCGCGGGAGACCGCTATCGGAGAACGAGCCTCTCACCCTTCTTAGCAACAAAGTTGTAGTTACGTTTCTCCCTTTCACGTATCTGAGAATAACTTCGCGAAATAAACATGTAATTTTCCGGCTGAAAGGTTCGCATTGTGGAAAACTGGCTGTGGTCTTGAAAACGCGGTTTTAGGCACTATTTTCTAGCTCAAGGTCAGTTTTTCTCATCATGCGGACCAACCCTTCGTGATTAAATGAAATTAAATTTTTCTGTCTCACCAATCCTTTCATTGGCTAGAAAGTTGATTTCTGTATGAATTTTGATAACGCAAATATTAATTTTTCATTCAATGGGTTACACGTGAAATGCTGTCTGAAAGCCGTTTGTAATTTCCCAGTCATTCACATAAAGTAACCCTGAGAGTTAAAAACACAAGTTATCTAATAACATTCCAATTAATCCTTGTTAATTTCAGTATTTTGATTTCTGATTCTGATTGCTGATGTCTGATGCAGCGACACGTTTAAAACACAAAACTTGCCCGTAATTCATTTCAACCAAAGAAAAGATAAGCATGTTATTTACCGGTATAAAAAGGCGGTCTGTTTTGGGAAGGACCGTGCTCTCTCTACTCTTAAGTACGCTCAAGAACTCAGGTACAGTTTATCTCAATATGGACTTCTGCTCGGTAAAGAACGAGCAATAGCGAAATGGTCACGATCATCTTGTTTTGCTCGTTCAAATTAATGGAAAGTTGAAAACTGCGAATTTTTAACTGATCAGGAACGAGAAAAGAGGCATGGAAAACATCAAAATTTTAGCTTAAATCGAACAACTCTGATGAAGATTGTCCTGTTACAGTGTTTGCCCCTACCCGCTGGCTCTCTGAGTCATTTGTAAGAAGTTCTCGTCGTGACAGTGAGGTGTAGGACTCTCCAAACTAAACAAGTAAAGATGAGATCATCAGTAAATTACCTGGAAATGTTACGAAGGGTTTCGATTAAATATGCTCCGGTTTTCTCGAGTACCCTCACAACATAATTCCTGCATCAGCTCTTTGGGGGAAAAGGGATCGGGAAAACCTTTTAAGTCAGAACTCTATAAATCGTGAGGACCATCTTCCCGTTTAAAAAATTCCTCTCTGTTACAAGTGGATAACTCGGAGGACATCATGTTGTTAGAAAGTAATTCCACTTACCGTAATTACATTGTGTGAGCTGTTTTTGTTATCAATCGAAACAGTCATGGAAAACAAAACTGGTACAACTAAATCTTTATGAATCCTCGCAAGATGAGATATCAAGTCCCATTCTTCTTCTTCCCAGTTAGTATCTGTGATGCTCCACGAGCCATATTCCTTGATAAGCAACTCAAGGGGTTCGCCCTTCAGTCGCTCGATCGCGGCAACATCCATGCACGAATCATAATATGCCAGAGCCTTCCAAACCGCCTCCTCCTGAAATAATTGAATGAACACAGGACACTTGTTTGCTTCGATCAGTTAGTTTCTTAAATTTCCTTCCTGTTCCCCAGTCTTATATATTGCTTCACCCAGAAATTTGCGCAACAAAAACTATGTATTTTGCCTGGTGACAAGTTGGTGGAGGCAGACTTACTGTTTATTAACTAATGAAAGTTACTAATGAAAGAGAGGTAACTGTACACCGCAAATAGCATAGCTACTCTAGGCGGTGTAGACTCCATATATATACAACATGAAATGATAAATATGGGAAAACATATACATATCTGCTAGAAAATTAACACATAACGAGAGGACAAGATCATTACATATAAAAGAAAGGAATTAAATAAGAAGGCGAATAGATGTAGTTTAAAATAGAAAAACATTAGGCTTCTGATTAAGGAATGATTAATCAGCAATATTATACACATCAGCATAAACCCCCTAACGCTCTAAAATCTGCAACGATTCAGTCTGAAGGTTTTCTTTGAATGATTCCTTTGGTTTTGATTTCAAATACTTGGGGATTTTGTCCCAGATTCTAGCTGGAATTGCATGCTCAAAATTGCTGGAGAAGTAAATTAAGCGTAGAGCTCTTTCCTTAGGGATCAAGATTTTTTCAAGATTTGTTTTTGAGGTTCGGCCCCAGACCACAAGGCCAAAGGAAAGATGTGGATGAAACAGAAGTTGGTAAGACGTGTCTCAATTTTGCGATAATACCTATGGTTTTACTTTTGTGCCACATTAGCTGATCATTCCATGAGAGATTGCAGTCTTTCAAGACACCGAGAAATTTACAAATTGTTTTCTCTCCAGATTTCTAAAAGCATTTGTTCATTGTTGAGTACTTTTAGATTTATAGCCGATTTAATTTTCCGTTGATAAGGATGAAATATAATATGGTTGGTATTTTTTGGTATTTAGGGTTAATTTAATCGCTAGCGACCAGTCGCAGACATTGGTCAACTTTTCATTGACAACCGATTCTAGTAATGATAATGATTTATCTTTATACAAAAGACTGGTGTCATCTGCGAAAAGGAAGAACTCAAATTTACTTGAAGAAGCCGAGATATCATTTATATACAATATTTTCACTACTGCCCAAATAGTGCACATTACTACGAGGATCACTTTCATTCATGCTCGACACTCTTTCTTAAAATATTATGATCATGACGATTTTAGATATATGAAATTCATATATTTGCACTGCGGTGAAGAGATGAAATTAAGAGATCCTCGCAGCTAAGGACACTACTACAACGAGTAGTTGATAATAGGACCTGAAAAAAATTCAGGCCCGTACGGGATTTGAACCCATGACCTCAGCGATACCGGTGCAGCGCTCTACCAATTGAGCTAACAAGCCAACTGGGAGCTGGTCAATGTGTTGAGTACAAATAAACCATTCAAGTGATGAATGATGATTTTAGATATATGAAATTCATATATTTCCACTGCGGAGAAGAGATGAAATTAAGAGATCCTCGCAGCTAAGAACACAACTGAAACAAGCAGTTGATCATCATTCATCACTTGGATGGTTTATTTTAGATATATGAAATTCATATATTTGCACTGCGGTGAAGAGATGAAATTAAGAGATCCTCGCAGCTAAGAACACAACTGAAACGAGTAGTTGATCATCATTCATCACATGGATGGTTTAATTGTACCCAACACTTTGACCAGCTTACAGTTGGCTTGTTAGCTCAATTGGTAGAGCGCTGCGCCGGTATCGCAGAGGTCATGGGTTCAAATCCCGTACGGGCCTGAATTTTTTTCAGGTCCCATTATCAACTACTCGTTTCAGTAGTGTTCTTAGCTGCGAGGATCTCTTAATTTAATCTCTCCTCCGCAGTGTAAAGATATGAATTTCAAAAATGAAAGATGATAGAATTTATCGTTTGGTATTGGCCTTACCTTAGAGTATTTAGCTTTCAGTTCTTTATTTTTAAGTAGTCTCTCGAGCACTTCATTGTTTTCTGCAGTCAGTTTCTCAAACTGATCCCATTTTCTAGATGTAAGTGGCCTCGGGTTCTTCTTCATCCATCCTCCACAAGCGTACTGATAGAAATCCGTACAAGGGTCCACTGAAGGGTCAACTGAATTCAGCAAGTCTTGAAAAGAGTCAATCAATAAATATACATCCTTTCTGCATGTCTTTGTAGAAGATGTCGCACATGGGTAAAGGGCAGAATTTGTTTACATTTGTTGTAAATTTGTAACCCGGATTGTGAGGGGGGGAAAGGGGTGAAAATGGATTTATTTCGGGATTATTTCACCGTGGAAAGACACGTGGGAAATAAAACGATTCCTCTTCGCCATATTTATGATGACCCATGTTCTTCCAATCTTAAGGGTGACAGCGCTGGTCGATAAAGAGAGGACTTTGTCAAAGAAAAATGATCAATGCGAAAATGGTCAATGCCAATCATGTAGTGTCTAAACGGTGGACTTCAACTGCATTTCATCAGCTTCAATCTTACACCTTTACCACCTCATAAAATACTTATTGCTGAAGCAAAGAGAAAATAACAAAATATGGGATTACAAAGTTATGGTTATAATGAAATTGCTCCACCCAAAGATTTCAAACAGTTCCGATAAACATTTGGTGTTGTAGCCTTGGTATACTATCATAAAAATCAAAGAGGTGTATTTGTTTTTTGTTTTTTTGTTTTAAACAAAGGTGAATTTAAAAATGACTCATGCCTACATCTGTAAGGTTGCCAGGAGGGTGTGCAAGATTGTCGAAATTTTCATCAGGCATTCTTCCTAATTTGTTTTGTCTGCCATCGCCTTCCCTACCGTCGAAGTGGATGGGTCGATCAGACAATAAAAAGAAAGCGAATAAAAGATATCGTGCAGCGGACTCTCTCGAGTTTACAGCCGACTTATTGCAATTAAGTGAGTGACAGGCACATTAGCATATTGAATTTTCCTCAAAGAGCCATTCCGAGTCAAAAAACGGGCAAAAATACCTCTTATTTACCGAGTTCGAGGGTTCTACTTTAAGTTGCAGACCGTGTTTTTTCCGCTCGGATTTATGGCCCAAGCGCGAAGCGCGCGGGCCATAAATCGAGCGGAAAACACGAGTTAACGTAACTTACAGTACGGAGAAAAATGAGGTCAGTAAGATATTTATTATGTATTTTGCTTCAAACAGAGAAGGGAAAAGATTTCAACTCGAGCGGAACGGCCATTAATGATTGAAGCGCGTCAAATCCTAAGTACAAGAGCATTTTATTGGCTTTTAAAAACTGGACTTTGAGTCGTCAAAAGTTTAAAATATTCGTTTCATATCCATAGTTCTAAATGAAGCAAACTTCATGAAAAGAATTGTTCAAGTATACAAAGGTTTTCTACAAGGAACTGATACAATGTTGTTCAAGTAACTCTTTTGTCGAGAGTTTTTTTCAAAATGCTCGAAATCTACAAGGCACAACGTGTTTCTTCGTAGAAAGTGCGAACGGCTAACTTTTTTCAATGTTAACGGCAAATGAATAAATGAATGAATTTTATCAATACGATTGAAAACAACACAAGAATCTTTTCATCGATTAGCATCCAACTTTTTGGTGTTTGCGGCGTTTTCACGGAAGGTTCCCAGGTGGATCACTCAGTGCAGACTGAACAATATTAAAGACACTATTGCATTGGAGATTGAGCCGATGTTTGTTGACGCGAAGAAAAAGGATGTGGCATCTTTTGGAAGCCGAACCTATTTTGTAGGGATTTTGAAGGAAGACGGGTGGCAAATAGAGAAGGACAAGTTAGACGAAGTTTACTCGAGTTTGCGTTTTTGAAAGCTTGAAATACTGTCTGGTTCGTACTCGCCGCCATTTTGCTTGCGGACATCTTTAACGAACTTGCCAAGGAGCTTGTCGAGAGCAGCAGCAGGTATGTTCATTACATTAAAAATTTTCATCGACCTACTGTTCGCAAAACCCTTCAAACTTTTCCCAATCGTATTTTGCCCTTTTCACAGTGTTTGAGCACCTTTCGGCGGCGATGAAATCATCTAGCTCTCGAATCAAGTTATCTTTGTCGTCCTCGCATTTCTTCATTTGTCGCTTGTCATCTGCCAAAATCTCGAAGAAATCAACTCGAAAGTCTGGGATATCTGCTTCTGAGGTTTGTGCTTTTTCATCGTTTGTTTACTTTTCCTTTAAATGTGTTTCAAATTTTTCTTCACGAGACATTTTGGCGATCAAAACAAACTTTTCTAATTTAGCGGGCCGTACAGCGAAATACGCCCCATTAAATAGCTCAATCATGGCGCACTTACTAACTGAGAGATACAATAAAGTGACTTATTGAGTGGAAGTGCATGTAATCCCTAAAGCTCAATATCCAAAACAATAGATTATCAAATGGCAAATTTTAGATTTTTATGAGTTTTGAATAACGCTTTTTTTCCCCAGCCAAAAAAAACTTATGAGAAAAAGCGTGGTGGCAACAACAAAACATATATTGCGAACGAAAAATGACAAAGATAACATTCGAAAACACGCTACTCCACCTCCCTCACACAAGAAACATGGCCGAAAATAATTGTTCTCCCTTCGACCAAAACGCGGCATTATGTTAAATACAGGAGATCAATATGTTACACAAACATGGACAGTTAGTTCTTCTGAAAATATAAAGGTTTAAAGATGTCTTTCAAATTGTAGCTCATGCGACATCACATAAAATTTACTCCATGCATGCAAATTTACGAATTTGCCCCCACACGTGTAGGCATTGCATTTTTATGATAAAAAAAGGAGACCAAACAAATATTAAAAAAGATCAACACCCCATACCATTCTAAGAGGGTGCCAAAGGGTTTCATAGAAACGCGTGATTGAGGCCAAAATTAATATGTGACGTATGAATTTTACAGAAAGGCAAGCGTGATTCGTGAAACAGCTTTAGGCGTGATTTGCCTCCTGTTGTTACTTAAGTAAATGAAGAGTCCCTTGTTTTACTACAAATATGACCTTAAAAGGGGTTTTTGATCAATATTATTGGAGCCCAGATATTGTAAGAGGCTTAACCCAGGGAATCTTACTTAGCAGTAAGCTATCTAAGCTTACCGGCATAGGTAAAGAGGTAAACTGACTGCCTGAAGACCCATCGTTTATTCCAGACTTTGTGTTACATCGAGAAAATATAGAACTATTTTAATGGCTTAGATTCTTGCGTGTGCGAGGTTGATAAGGAGTGAAACTGAATCCCACGTACATCAATTAAAATACATGGAATGATTTGTTTTATCGTTCTTATAGCGCACAGCTGTATCAAATTTAAGCAAGATTATATATTAGTGTGCTTATTCACTCATCGTGCTTTTCTGTTCTCCAAATTTTGCGTTTGTCGTCTGTCTTTATTTACAAAAGGACAAATTCCTTACCTGATACCGCATGTAGACAGTCTGTTGTCCAACACATACCGCCATGATATTTTTCGTGTTCAGGTATCCTTGTAGTTGTTGTCTCTGGTTTCTCTACAGCCTCGGTGGTGAGATTTCGTGCGTGCTCCCTCAAGTACAGATTCAGTAAGACAAGGCAACATACTATCAGTAGAGCGATAGTGAGGATTAGAAATTTAACCAGTGCTGAACATTTCTTTGCTTCCTTCACATTCCACGAAACAAAACTTGTTCTACTGTTTGGCCTGCGCGTCTCTCTCTTCGTTTTAACATACACTGATTCCATCCTGATCGGCAATCAACGTTCATTAGTAATTTCGTTGTTCGGCTAATTCTTCTTCTTCGTGGGTTAATTAACCTCGACTCTACCTCTCGACTCTAATTAACTTCGGCTCTATCTCACCGACAGAACATGGATCAACTTTAGCGTAAGAATACTGTCTTTAGTTAAGGAGAACTTGTCTAGTTAATCGCTAAACAGATTTGGGGAATAAAGCTCAGCGCAAATGATACGTAGTGACGTCAGTACTTTGATTGTTGTTGGGTCTTTTCCCCCAGTTCGGCATAGGGTTAAATATGGACTGGACCCTTGGACTATTGGACTACTTTTTTTACTTTTTTTTTTGGACCACTTATGGACCTTTTTAAAGACCTTTTTTTGGACCAATTTTTGGACCATTTCATCGGGGAAGGCAGAGGCGGCCTAAGCTCCAGCTATGAGATGATCATCTTGCGAAATAACAGTCATGGTAAAATCATAAGATCTTGTAAGGGAATATTTACGACCTCGGCCGCTCTAAGGAATGAAAGTCAAAATTTCTCAATAAAAACACCTCACCTTACTTACACAGTGCATCGCTTGTTATATGACCGCTTACTATGTTGAAAAGAACACATTTTAGCAAGTTAACCATTTCTAGGTTTACTACGTACATAGGAAGAGCACGGGCTTTTCACACAAAGGGAAACGTGAAGGAACTGGTGGATGATTCATGCTAACCAGTGAGTATCATTAAGCACTAGCATAAGTCGTCTTAAAAGGCACACGTGTGACTCAACAATGGTGGAACGAAAACGGGTATTGGCGATAATGTCGATGGCAATTTTAGTCCAGCGTTCAGGCGCCAGTTAAGAATAGTCAGTCGAAAAACCGCTGAAAATAATTTGTATGATCCATTAAAAACTCCCGCCCCCTCCCTGCGTACTAATAATTTGTCCTCCATCCCTCCCTCAGTAACAACAGTTTACCTCCCACCCCTACCTAAGTACTGATAGACTGCATCCCACCCCTCTCTAAGTACTTATGGTCTTCATTCCCCCCTTCCCCCCCCCGATATTATCGGTCCAAAAAAAACGGTCTACAAAAAACTGGTCCCAAAAAATAGTCCCAAAAAATAGTCCCAAAAAATAGTCCAAGTGTCCAATGGTCCAGTCCATATTTTACCCTGTGTGCTGCTCTAACCTATACCATTTATCAGGCTGTGATTTCCTTAAAATTTTGATATGATACAGGACAGTTGTGCCAAAACGACCTGATACGGATGCAGGTCAATAGGCCAAATCATGGTGCAATAACAAATTTCAAAGTCGTTTGTCGGGATCGCTGGATTTACCTATCGTGTGGAGACATTAATTCCAAAGCTGTCTGATACATTATAGATAATTTTGTTTCTTATATATTGGCCTGCCGCATAACCTTTTTTTCTGGTTGCAATAATTTACATTGGCAAACACACTTCACTGATGACATGTCGTAGTCACGTTCGCACGCTGCGTAGGAAATACGCAATACTTCGAGAGGATAAGATAGAAGAGTCACAATAACCGTGTCTCTGATTAGAAGAACCATGTATTTTCACACTCGTTTTACTTTTCTGATTGGTTGGTTATGCATTTATGCACTTTTTTTTATGTGAAAGCTCGTCTCATGTTTCTCTCATGGTGTGGTCACTTCGGCTGTGGATAATAACGTTTCGACTGCATACTGCTAGTTTCTTTAGCCAACAAGGTCGATTGAGTGTGCGTCACCGTGTCTCTTTTTGATGAGAAAATATAAGCCACATATATTTGATAAATAGTTTCAAATTTGCGACGTTTTTGAAAACGGGTGTATCTATATATTTATATTCACTTCCACTAAGTACATATTGGATTGAAATGACTACGTTGAAAAAGAGTCTCCACTCTGCATTCCCGCAATCCCGACCAAAATTTTCTCAATCCCGCAATCTCGACGGTTTATACCGGCCAATCCCGATCCCCATCATACAGTTTTGTCTAGTTTTTCGGGATTCGGGATTGGGCTTATTAAAAGGCCGAGATTCGGGAATTTATGAGGGGAGCAAGATGCGGGATTGCTATTGTGAACGGGACACAGGAATCGGCGATTTTGAGGAACAAGATTCGGGAAATACTCGCTTAAACGAACAGAGAACTAGGATGTCCCATGTTGAGAATTTATTAAAAAATTTATCTTCTCAGTCCATGAAAAGTACCACTCGTAGAGGCCTGGTGCTTTTAACTTAGCATTTAAGAGGCGGTCGGGCTGTTCAGCGACACTCTTCAGTTATTGTGCGGGTATGACAATTATATCTGAAGCGAAGTCACCAATTTTCCAGAAACCCTCAATGGCCCACAGGGAAACGTGGCATCGAAGAGTGCTGCGCCAACTAATACGCTTAACGGTGTTGAAAAACCCCCAGCAAGTCTCAGAATTATACCGATATGACGCTCTTAACATACTGAGTCAAATGAGACTAGACGTGAAGAATATTCGCTCGGTAGTGCATCACAAGGATAAACTTTTGAAATGCAGCCAAATAAGGCTTGAAAAAGACAACCCATTGGGCGATGTACTATTTTAGAAATCCAAATTCGAACGTGCCATGATCCTGTCGGCCATACCAGTAATAGTCAACCGTTATCACCAGTACCGATGGCACCACAGGGCATACAGAAGATGAGGGACTAAGCATAAACAACGGTGGCAAGGAACTCTGCCGTCGTAGCCTGGCGAACCGGTCAGCCTCGAACGTTAACTTAGAGGAGTAGCAAGAAAACAGCGGGAAACGAGACGAAGGGGAAGATGGAATATTTGAGTGCGATTCCCCGAGTGATGATGGTGACATTCCATCTTTGCAACGAGAGGCTGATTTTCATCTCAGAAGGTGTTCCCGCTTCGGAAGAAGTATTCACTTTAACAGCAGAATTGTGTTCAGTCAATTCTTCTCCATCCCCCTTGTCATGGAACGATGGGATTGACGTCACCTTTTGTGTTTTATGCACTTGTTGACATTGTTATTCGTTTCTTTTATACTGACCTGTCTGTACTAATACTTTTATCCCTTGATCAAACTTTAACGGAAGGAAGTCATTACCATGACTACAGCGTTCGTTAGAACGAACAATACTTTGAAAACTTCTAAAATGAACGATATCATCATTTTGGCGAAAAGAGATAAACCAACACCTTACGATGACCATAAACTTCAACAGATCAATGCTAGTTGAGAAAATTATCACCCACCGAAATGGCCCTGTTAGGGTTACGAAATCCAATTAGAGACCTTCATATATGGGCATATATGGCCTTATGTGAAAGTACTCAATCCCTGATTTCATGCCAGTGAGACACTGGAAAAAGGTTTAGTGCAATAAGTCTTTTCTTGTTAGGGTATTTGGGAACCTAAAATAAAATTTCTGGCTCGACGTTGAACTCCCTCGATTGCTTGTAGACCACCAATGTGCAGAGGCGGCGTCCACACTTCACCAGAATGTCCGACATAGGATCGCACCAGGCTCAGGTAGAGAGAGCGCTTGACTTTGGATCCAAAAGGAGGGTCAACTATTTTGTAGATGATGCTTTGGATAATATGGAAGAGACGTGGGAACTCCAGTTAAGGTTTGTATTGATAACTTTACCAATATTTTTGTGTGTCAGTTTGCAATACGACGTGATTCCCCATAAAAACAAAGCACCTGAGTGACTGTTAAACGGCCACGCAGGAATCCGTGTTGCTAAGTAAAATAGGAAATGCAGGTGGTTAATACATCTTTTGAAAATACGTATTTCAAGCACTTTGGGTAGGATACAGAGCAATGAAATAGGCCCGTAATTTTCCACTAGTTCGTTATCTTTTTTTCTTGTGGATAGGTATGACCAATGGCTCTTTCCACAATTTAGGTACCGTACCAAAAACAGTGATTTGTCAAAAAATTTGCATACGCAAAAAAAAAAAAAACCAGTCGGGAGACTGACAGGTTCATAGGCTTTGCTGATATCTAAGCCGCGTAGCAATGATTCTACTACGGAAAAGGTCAGTAAGATGGAAGATAACATTGCATTTAAGTTCAGTATAGAGCTCACACAAGGTGGTGGATCAGACGAAAATGAAGGGAAAAAGTAATGATTACACGCTTCAACCTGACGAGCTAGAGTACAAAGAAACTGACCGCAATATTTAACAATGGTAGGTACTGAAGGTAATTTCCTTTTACTTTTATGAAACGACCAAAAATTTTTTTTGGATTCCCGTGAAGTGACGCTTGAAAGAGTCTGTATAGTCGTTACATTTACTGTAGATTAGCAACTTGCATTCACAATAAAGAGTACAGAATTTTTCACGATAGTATTTACCATTAGTCTTTTAAGTTTTATTTCTGACGTTTTGCTTTCGGAGCAAGTATTAACTTGGCCAACAATCCATGGAGGAGAATTGATATTCTTGAGTTTTACTTTGGATATGTACTCGTCAATGAGAGATGTAAGTTGAAATACCAATTCTCAAAGTTCCCCATTTAGGGTGGTAGAGATCAGGTCAGTCAAGTTTGCATCGCGAAACTTTTTTTGGAAGGTTTCAGAATCTGCTTTCTTGAAATTATAACCAGTGCAAGACTGTTTTGGTAATCGAGGAATGCGGAGAGTAACATTGAACGTCCCTGGAACGTGGTCCGTATGGAATGTTAGAACACTTACATGCATTGTTTCGATGTTATGAAATGAGTTAGGTTCGTTTGTGATAATGATGCCCAGGATATTTGCAAGGCTACAAGCATGAAAAATGTATACTTTATTATACATGTAATGGCAGGGCCACCAACAGAGCAAACCTCGACAGGTATCTTTTAAATCTAATGGCTTCACTCATGAGCAAAGATGAAATCCGTGCTTTTACTATGAACTAAAGTACTGCTTTTCTTTAAATAGATTGATTGGCTGACCTGTTGCGTGACTCTACAAAAGATGTTTTGTTACAGGTAGAAATCGCTAAAGGAATGCTTCCATTCAGCTACATAACAACCCTGAAATGATTTTAAGCACATCTTCGATTATGGCTCTAAAATACGTAAGCCTTCAGTCGCTCCGTGATTGGATGCAACCGATATGTGCCATCCTTCCGCCCACAGAGTTTCTCATCTGGCTATCGTCTGTATGTTTACCCTGCTTAGTCACTGAATAACTGAATCTATTTAATGGTTATAAAAAAAATAGTACTGGTAAAGCTAAGGTAAGGTACGTTTTTTCTTGGGGGGAAGGGCTGGGGCCTCAGAGGGGAGGGTCATCAATTAAAGTGAGCACCAAAAGGGGTCACACCTCTTTGTAAGCTATTCAAGGGGAGGGTGATACACCTTTTCCAGAATTTTTTTATGAGGATTTTTGTGATGTTGCTTTTCATTTTCTTACAGATCAATTTTTTCTTTTCACCGACTTTGATTATATTTAATGTTTTATTATAGGTTCTTTGATCTCTTTTTATTAAATGTTTTTGTTTAATTGTACAAACAATTGTACATGTCTGTTGACATAGAGATAACAACGATGGTTAGAACTCAGGTAATCCAACCACTGTCCGCAGTGCAAAAACATCCCAGCTCAGCTCTGAGTCAAATTTTCAATTTCAGTCATTGCAGTGTAACTCTCAACATCGCTGGAAACCATTCTTCCCAAGCAAGTGTCGGCCAGAGCATGCTTAGTTACCAGATAATTTCTTCGTTCAGAATCTGACTCCGATTTAGGTGTATTGTTCAGATAAATACATTTTGAACCTTTCTGCTGTTTGCGGCAACGATTGATCGATTGCAGTTTAACTGAATTAAGCCGTGTAACGTTGTTAACTGTATTTTGAGGATAAAATGCTCATTGGATCTATTGGTCAGTTACGTTTGTTTTGACATTTGTGGCGGCATTGAAAAGGCTTCATCGCGGGGACATCGTGCTCGAATGCAATCCCCTCAAAAATTTTGCCTTTTAAGTGATGAATAAGAAGTCGCAAGTGCCCTCGGGCAATTAAGGATAAATTTCACTTGTATTTTCAAAGTTTTCCCAAAATTTCCCGAGTTGCTCCGCGACTCGGGAAATTTTGGGAAACTTTGAAAATGCAAATTAAACCTCGTTGCTTATTGCTGTTGGCGCTATTTTTGGTCAAATCGACCCAGGAGCCCTTCCTGAGTTAGCAGCATAGTCATATCACCACTCCTACTTATCACCTGTTATGTAAAAACGTATTGACTCACCTTACTAAGAATTACTTACAATTTGAACCTGTGCCATAAGAGCTTTGTCGCTTTACATCTTGCGCAACAAAAAAAAATAATAATCCACGCTCTTGCAATACAATAAGATACTTTCAAGGTGTAAATTTACGAGAACGCGCGACTGCCAAGTGACATCAATTATACCCTTAAAAATATTGGTTTGAACGCTTCCAAGCCCGCAAAGAATCCAGCAAAGCATAACGACTACTTAATACCTTAATTTTCACTTTCTTGCAATTCTACGATCCATCAAGGGAAAGCCGATTAGAATGACGGATCGCCTATTGAACACTACCAACAAACGTAAACAGTAATGCTAATCAGTTTTTATTAAATTTATCCAAAAAACCGGTCACCTGCCGACAAAAAGATAGGTCAGTGGACCATAGATGAAATCACTTTTTCGGTTTATTAAGTCAGTTATGTTGCGGAACCACAAACAAAGCATGTGGTGCATAATGGGCGAATCAAAAATGAACAATATCTATAATGTACTGATTGAAAACATTTTCAGCTGCCAAATTCGAAATCCTTATAATTCGAATAGCACTTTGCCAGAGTGTTCCCTCGTTTTCCACTTGACATCAGTTCACCATAAGGACAAAGGCATATCATTTCAGTATTTTTCTGTAAATTAAAAAAGCGTCTGAGTCCATCGAGGAGAAAAATGGCAGATCCCAAATACCGCTTAACAATGGAAGAGAAGATGCATCTTGATGGAAATTCAAACAGTCCTGACGGCCATATAATACACAGTAGAAAACGGGTGCAAAGAAATGGATGTAGCACTTCAGTACTTGTGTTTGTGGTAGTTCTGCTTTCCCTGGCCTGTATCAGCCTAGTCATATTTTTGGCAATAGAAAAATTGCAAAGGAACGATGAAATTCGAAGCTCGTTTTGTAGAACCGTCCTGGGCACATCTAACTCGAGTGGGAATGTGACGCCACCATGCACAAGTGTCCAATGCATACTCGCCTCTGCCAGTAAGTAGCACTTGCTAACCAAAGTCATTTTTATTGAAAGCTATTACGACGCTTAGGATTTTAGAATTTTTTTATTTTAATGAACGGCGCGAAAAAAAAAAAAGATTAGATATTTCCCAACAGAAAGGAAATGGCTTACTTAAGGTTGACTAGCCAGCCACCATAGTTACACTTCGCAGATTTCTTAGGCTAGAGAGTCTTTACTATTGGTTTGCTTTCTTGTGAGATGAAACCTGCTAAATTCACTTACAAAATCTTTCTAACAATTGGGTCGGAAAATGCTTCCAAAGATGTAGCTGTTAACTTTTGTTCAAAGTAATTTATACAAAGAAGGATTGGGAAATTGCCAAATTCGACACTACGCTAACCAGTGAATTTCCGGATTTGTTTTTGTCGCAATTTGTGTCCTGTGGATAAAGTACCAAGTTAATTTTTGCTGTGATCGTTAAATTTAATTAAATATAGTATGTTTTACAAAAACTAATATTAAAACTCTTCTTTTTCTGTTGGGGATACGCCACATGAAGATATGTAAAAGAGTATCTGAAGAACTCTTGCGATGTGTGTTTGCGTGTTGCTATATAAGTCAAGATGAGCGTTCAAAAACCTGGAACAATCCTGCTGGATACCAGCAAGTAGCTACAAAAAGTTTCCATGTTTTAAACCTACTTAGTACTCAAACTCCATGCTTCTCCCATAAACGGCTGTACTATCATTGCTTGACAGTAATGCGTTGATGACTTACAATGATTTTAACATTTTCATGAGTTCTCTCTACCTTTCATTCAAGCGTTATAGTTATATTTACATCAAACTATGTTTTCATCTCCTTCCTATTTGTAGTAGCAGCAGAGTTAACTTTGGATAGTTAAGACCTTGAATATTCTCATCTAGGCTAATTACCAGTGATGCAAATGTCCAATAAATCGGAAAGGTTTTTTTGATAAATTGATTGTAACTGAAGTAATCCTTAGCCCCTTTTCAGTTCAAAGTTCTAAATTTTATTCATCTGTGTTATATTTTCCCCAACTCACCAAGCAACGGGTGGAGCGGCAATGTGACAATGAAGACAAACATTACTCGATAGCTTTCGCTAACAATAATGGTTCGCTGGGAAACTGTAGCAGAATTCATTTTATCCAAACACGACGATTTCAAAAGTGAAGAAACGTTCCTCTCGTAGGTCCTTGCCGTGAACGTTGCTACAGCTTTTCTACCGATATTCATCGCAAATCTGTTGATTAAAACAATTATATTCATTTTTGATCAATTGTCAAAGGCGAATCAGTCGATGCACATCTGTGCGGTTTTTCTTTGTGGAGCCATCCCATTAGAGTAATCTATATTATGAGCCACTATAGTCAGGCTTACGCATATGGTTTTAGACTCAGAACAACTGTTTACCTTGTTTGATTCTCTTGATTCTTTGAAAGATATTCTGCGGACAGTCGACCAGAATGTAGATCCGTGCGAAGACTTTTTCCTTCACGCATGTGGCGGCTGGATCAAGAGCAACCCTATTCCACCTAATGAACCACTCTGGAATCAAGTGCTTGCTCTCAAGAAAAGAAATGACCAACTTTTGAAGAGGCTTCTCGATGACAAAACAGTCAGAAAGAGATATATCGGGGTGAGTGACTCATTTCATAACTTTATTGCCAGTTTTATATTAGTTTCCAGATTGCATAGATCGCATTGAAGGCAAGATTAAGGGGTAAATCATCCCTTTCCCCTACTATCGATAATATCTATAGGACGTAGCCTCATTAGTTCCTCTTTGATTAGAATGATGCTGTTCAGAAGGCCTTCCTATATTACGATTCCTGCACTGACCAGGACGCCATTGAACATGCGAAAGGGTCACCTCTTCTTGAATTAATTGCGAGGTATGGATCATGGAATATCACCAACAAAACTTGGACTTCCAACTCCTGGAATTTTGCCGAGACTTTGGTTCGTATTCACAAAGAGCTCAAACTCTCGCCACTGTTTACACTTCAAGTAAAACCAGATCTGGTGGAATCCTCGCGCTACGTCATAATGGTATTGAAGTTTATTTTCGAATGATTTGAAATCCATCAAACTCGGTTGTATTTGAAGTAGTTATAGGTCTTATTATGGTGGATAATTTTTGTCAACATCAACATCCGTTACCACAACTGAAATTATGAAATTAAATGAAGATATGATCCCGGCAGGTGAACTGCAATTAAAGAAATTGCAAGAAAAAAGACATAGCATCCTATCTCATTCATAGCAGCGCATTACACCTTCACTTGATTAACACCCGCAAGGTCACGACTCGTGTTCACATGATTCTGAAAAGCTAATATCTTGGATGACAAAAGGACTGAGGCGTAGCATGCATTTATCGTGAATTACGTGCCAAAGTTAATCGAGCGCTGAAAGTGCAAATCGACCCACACAATTTTTCTATCTCGGAACTCGGAAATTCTATTCCCTTCGTTGTCCAAAAAAAGTCTTACCTTCCCTTGGTGAAATGACACTCAGTCATACATTTGAAAAATTTATTAACTTGACAACTAGTCGTTTCACTTTGTTGCCGATATCTTTTTTTATTGTGTTCGTGTTACTACAGATCTTCGAAAACAGTTTGCTACGGAGTTCCTCCTGACCAAATCTAAATTTCTCTATTTTAGCTTTTACGACACATTCTCGATAATAGTTCATAAGAGAGTTTCTCTTGGCTAAATCTAAATTTTCTTTAATCCGTTTTGTTGACGGACTCTTTATATCAACAACTACCCCTTGCTAATCCATGATAAGCCTCAAGAATTTGGCAGCGTGTTAAAGAGGAGCAGTCAACTTACAAAAATACTCCCTCTGCGGAAACTAATTTTTGTCTAAAGAAAACTTAAATGTTTAAATCCATACTTAAATGCTCAACTCATATTGCAATTTTCCCATCGGTAACCTATTCTTTTATCGTTTTCAGATAGATCAAACGACTCATACCATTACAAGAGATGCATACCTCGCTAATACTTCTTACCATCACCAAGTAAGTGATAACGATTCCTGATAGATATGATGTACAACGTATCTGTCTCATCACGTCCAAATACCTATACTATTTTAAAAGCACCTACTTTTTATTGCGGCTGGACTTTTCGGAAATATTTCCGACTAAGTTGTATTCTTCTGAGAACTATCAGAAATCTAAAATACATCCGAAAAAAATCATCAAGAAGGCCTCCATCGGTTAACTGTCAGCCCTCCAACAGCCAGAACTTTAACCGGCAACGGTAGAAAAAAGCACCACTTTCAGATTGAATGGCTTTCTTACTTAATAACTGTTTCTGACCATGTCAAGCCGCGTCATTCCTGACATTTACCACATAACACTGAAAAAACTTTGACATTGAAAAAACTCAACCAGACCTGGCGCACTTATGGCCGGAGCTACTAAGGAGAAACAAACACAGTAAACTGTTGCTTGGAGTTATTTACAGGTCAGACTTACTGATGACGGGCTAGAGTGTTTCGAGGACTTGCTTGGTCATATCACATCCACGTGGAATGGCAAGGTAGTTCTTACAGGCGATATTAACTTGATGTTATCGATCGCCCTGACTCTTTCCTTACGCGTTACAGTAATACCTTAGACATGTTTGTTATGAAGCCGATTAGAGTCACTAGGACCTCTCGAACACTGATTGATCATATTATTACTAACCTCCCAATGCGCATTTCTGCCACTGATGTCATTACTACCAGTATTGTAAGCGACCACGATTCTCCGTTTGCCTGTATAAATGTGGGTGTAGATCGGTATCTGAACATCGTATACTCATCTGATAATCCAGAGGAACAGTTAGAACACTTAAACAGCATGTTTAAGGAGTGTATCGAGAGACATGCCCCTCCTCGGAGGGAGAGAGTTACGAGTTTCGGATAGAGGACTGCCAAATACGGTCACTACTACAGCGGGACGTCAGAAACAAGTTGAAGGCAGCTATTCGTCGGGCTCGCGAGACCTTCACAAGGCAGGCGTTATCCTCTAATAAACCGAAGGTGTGGCGTATTATCCACCGCATACTGAAACCTAACCAGCAACCCTTGCGGCAGGATCCTGACAGGTTAGACTCATTCTTTGCTTGTACTACCGGGAGAACTTTACCTGTTAGTGGTGACTTACCTTCCTGTCTTAAAGAAGGAATTGAATCTTTACCTCTATCTCTCTAATTTCAAGCTCCGAGAAGTGCCCCACAGCGAGGTCCTGAGCGTGCTGAAATTGTTAAGATCTGATATGTCTACTGGCCCCGACGGTATCCCTGTCCAATTCGTTAAAATGGTGGCTGAATCCATTGCTGGTCCCCTCACAACTATTATCAACAAATGTATCAGGAAGTACTATTTTCCTAAGGCGTGGAAAAATGCGAGGATCAGTCCAATTCCTAAAGTCGATCAACCGAAGTCTGAGGAACACTTTCGTCCCATTTCAATTCTCCCCACACTATCAAAAGTCTTTGAGAAACTTGTCGCGCTGCAGATGACCACCTTTTGTGAATCTGGATCAGTACTCCGCGATACAATTTCTAGCTTTCGTAAGGGACACTCGACCAATACGGTGCTAATGGCTATGCGCAACGATTTGCTAAGAGCGATGAAAAAAGGTGAGGTTGCTCTCATAGTGCTGACCGATTTCTCTACAGCGTTCGACACAGTCAACTACAAGATTCTTATAACTAAGTTATCAACGCTTGGTTTCTCGAAGCCGTCTCTGTGCTAGTTGAATAGCTACTGAGTGACCGGTCACATTTCGTACAGATCGATGATCGTACATCTGAATCAGTGAACGTACGGTTTGGTGTGCCACAGGGGTCGATCCTCGGCCCAATGTTATTTAACCTCTGCGTTTCCGATCTGCAAGATCATCTCCCTTTCTCGATTGGTTCATTTCAATACGCTGACGATACTAAAATAATTATACCAATGGAGAGGGGCACCTTTCAAGACTGTCAAGTTACTTAATGCCCTTTCCGCAAATATGAGAAACTGTAGTGATTTCAAAGTTTAGTTAAGGGAAGTTAATGTCTATTTATTAAATCACATTTATAAATAGTTTGTAAATTGCATATAGGGTTGTATAACTATTAACAATCTCTGTTATATTTTTATACAATATCCTTTTACAGTCCGATGTTATTGCTTTTTATATTGTAGATTTCATGCTTTTTTAATCGTTTTTCAATATTATATTGCAGTTTTTAACAATCCTCCGAAAACGCTAAAATCTCGAAAATACGAACTTGTAAACGCTTTGGGGTTGTTTTCAGGGCCATCTGTGATAGTTTGCATGGTGTATCTTGAATTACACAACCTGCTTTTCACTTACAGGCGCATTGATATCCTCCGCATAAAACAGGCACTAAAAAATGTATATTTGAAAGGGTAAAGATCGGCAACTATGACAATAACGACGCCATTTCTTACCGAATTTACATAATCCGTAAGCGGCCCGTGGGCATTACCGCTTACAATGCACGGCTCTGCTCTTTGTTGTAGCCAATCAGCGCATGTTATATCGGCCACAAGCCGAAGCCATATGATTATTTATTTTATCATATACACTGCGGTGTTATACAAGGATTTCCAGCCCCGAGATAAGCCGTAACAACGTGAAAACTATGATATTTTTTCACGAGTGATTGATATCGCCAATCAGCTGCTGACAAGTCACTCGTTCTTCGCGCCACCCGATCAAGTTGATAAATAAACGGCAAAGCCTTCAACATTCTTAATCCGAGGTTGTTTGCCGGAATATTTTCGGATTATGGATTATGGCTGCTGAAAACTATGATATTTTTCCACGAGTGATTGATATCGCCAATCAGCTGCTGACACGTCACTCGTTCCTCGCGCCACCCGATCAAGTTGATAAATAAACGGCAAAGCCTTCAACATTCTTAATCCGAGGTCGTTTGCCGGAATATTTTCGGATTATGAATTATGGCTGCTAAATGATTAAAAAATTGTAAAAAAAGGTCTGCCAACTTTCTGACACTGTCCTGTAATCTTTTCGCATTGTCTTGAGGATTTACAGGAACACTGTGGTTTTGATGGTTATCTACAAACTTATTAATAAGTACGTAGGCCAACCTATTAAATAAAACTTTTGGCATAATTTTCATGTTTTGCTTGATAAAATGTTAATCTTAGCCTTTTCTTGAACAACGAAGGAAATTGTTGTGACCTTCCTATTATGTAAAACTCCATACATTTTGTTTTGTTGGCTGTAGGTAAGAAAGGCCTACCAGCAGCTTATGTCTGAGTTGATCAACCTGATCGGTGGAGAGACTAAGTGGGCCGAGCACCAGCTTAAAGAAGTGTTTGAATTTGAACAGGACCTTTCTAAGGTAAGAAATAAATTTCTCCAATTAACTGGTCAAAAATCAGTTAGGAAATTTTATTTTGAAATTTTAAAGGTAGTTCCATCGAAAACTAATCATCGTGACAAATGAGGATACATTATTATAGAGAGAGTAACGGCCATTTTTAATTTTTTCTTTGCTCAAGCTATCCGCAACTGCTAACGAGAGAGCTGACAGAAGTAAGGTATACAAGTTAATGACTTTGAAAGAACTTCAAAACAAAACAGGAGAACCGGTGAGGATTAGTATCGCTGAAAATTACGGCGAATGGCTTGGTTACATTGTTTTAATTTGATGGATAACCTTAGTTATTCGATACCATGTAATCGATCAAATACCTTGTATTCTTGTCGTAGTTTATCTTCTCGGCATATTGTTATGTTTTTTTCACTGGCCTAACCAGCCTAAAGCCTAATGTACCCGACCTAAGATAAACTTATAGAGCAATTTTTTATGGAGTGTTGATGAACCAAAGAAAGGTAACCACAAAAACTTATCAGAACAAAGTTCAACATCATCATTAATCAATGAAAACTCAAAGGAAAATAGATAACCTGCTTAGAGCGCGGGGAAACACGAATGATCGAGCTGGAATTGGTTTTTAGTTTTTTATTTGATGTATTGATAGGGAAGTGTGAGTTTTCTTGACCAATCACAGAGCGAAGTAAAGCAGAAATTAAGCAATCCAAGATCAACTTCGACACTCAATTGAAAATTACTCTTTTGTTGTGCCACTGCTATCATCACCACCACCATCACCACTGCTATAGTCCACTTCCGTTATTCCGAACACCCTCGGGGGAAGATTTAGTGTCCGTAATAGTGAGATTCCGTAATAGCAGGAAACGAGAGAAAAAAATCATTTCGTCTTAATGCATAAGAAATAAAATGTAACTACGTAAACATAAATTTTATACCGTGACCACAAACAGATCCGGTCGCAAGCAGGAAATTTTCAAGTTCGCATCCAATTGAAGAATGGTGTCACTAGTTTCCTTTATCATAATGTTGCTTCATATTATGTGAGTCAGGATTTTGGACGAGTACTTAAGTGTCTGTTATAGCGAGAGAAAAAACAAATGAAATTTCGAGCTGGGGGAGGGGGCATGAAAGTGTCTGCATTTCCTTAATAGCGAGAGAGTCTGTAATAACGGGAGTTTATTTCAGTCATTTCTTTATGCGTTTCGCCGGGGGGCTACCTCTTACTTGCAATGGCGGGATATCCGTAATAGCAAAGCGTTCGCAGGGCGAGAGTCGACTGTAACAGGGTATATCTAGTAAAAAAAAAGATTTAAAATTAAGCGTAAGCGCGTGCCGTAAAAAAAAACTAATAAGAAAAAAAAAAACAATGATGATAGAAATATAACTTGTTGAGTCTCTTCACCTTTATTCCGTCAGCGCCTGCCTGCGTCGTCGCTTTCGGCTGTTTTAACGCTTTTTTATCGACTTTCTTTGTATCGCGTGTTGTGCACAATTTAATAGTGCAAAAGAAAGTCTTCAGAACCGAAAAGCATTTTCCTTGAGCAGCAGTTTCACTCTCAGAATAAATTTGAAGAGTTCCCTTGCAGGGGTTATTTCACTAGGCTCAGTAGCTATAAACAGGATCTGCCTACCCATTTAATACCATTTCTCATCACAATTTCTTTGCATTTGGTCAATGCTCAAGGGTAAAACTATCTTAAATAAAAGTTAAGCGAATAATCTTCAGAAGGAATTTCTTTCTGAGTTTTGAATTTAAAACAATGAATACTCAGTTAAAGTGGTTTTGGAGAGTTCTCATGAAGAATACCAATAATTTAGAGCGATTTGTCTTTAAAGTTAAAAGCATACAACATCGATACAAATTGGTACAATACAAGTTACTGAAAAATGTATACTTACACGTGTGTAATCCGCTATTTCTATACTCGTAGATTGACTGGTTGTTTTACATAAAAGCAATGTTTCAAGACACCAGCTACGAAATAGAGCAAGACGAAGAGCTCGCCATTTTTGCTTTGGATTACTTGACAAACATGTCAAGTTTGATAACCAACACACCAGAAAGGTTGGTAACATTGAGTAATCAATTAACCATATTCAATTTGATAGACTTAATAAAAGTTGAAGCATTTTGAGTACTATCACGTCATCTGGGTCGCCACCCGGCTGCCGACCATTGCACCCAGGTGCAAACATCTCTCAACATCATTTATACCTTGCCCATCTACCTGCTGCTAGTTGTATTCAGTTGAAGAAGTTAACGCTCGCTGGAGGAAATCTTTAACTCAGTTCCTATGCTGATTACTAAGAACAAGTTCAATATCATCAAAATATCATCGTGCAGTTCACCTCTGGCATTTATAAAGTGTACATTAAGTTGCGAAACATACCATGTTTTGAGATTTCAAAAAGCTACCTAACCGTTCAAAAATTTACTGCAAATCTACTAAATGGGTCGCTAACTTACGATCTAGTAGTTTCTCGCTTTTTTCTCTGTTGGTGATTTGTTTGTACAATTCGGAGATGAAAAAAAATAGGCATTCTTGGGTCCAGAAATGAATTAGTGATAACCAAAGCAGCAGTTCTTTGTGAATCGCACGTTGTGGCTTTTACTAGTTGATGAGTGTAAGGGCAACGCCTCTGAGGTATGTATTTCAGAATGGGGCGTCATAGCATAGTTTTTATGACGGTTGAATACAATTTTCAAATAGTTGGTACTCTTTTTGATGTAGACACTGCTAATAAGTGGTACGATTACGATCCAGAGAGACAGAGAAATAACAGCAAATCGTCTACGCACTGTTATCAAACGCAAAAGAATCGAGGATTTTACCCTCATAGATGTGGCGATACCTTTTGATTAGAATGCTTCCACCAAAGCATTAGGAATGGGACACTATGGACACTAAAACCATTCCTTTTCACCGTCGCTCCCAATTTCTAGTCATCAAACTTTCTTTCGAAGGCAACGGCCTATTCAACAGTGTGTGCTACAATGCTAATGATTCCTATGGATAACTGTTGTGTTCATCTTCACATCCATCACATGACAAGAATTCATTTCTTATTCTCAGTTTCTTTGACTTCGTCGCCTATATACTGAGGACTCTGATTTTTCTAAAAAGTCAGAAGCAATGTGCCAGTTTTTCCAAAAGAATGGCTACTCTGCTTCTCTCGTTCAAGATGGCCATCACTGCCAAACGTCACAGAAAGAGAGAAATCATTGAATTTCACTCACCCTCGCATTTCATTCTCACCGAATAAAGCAGCAAAATCCATCATTTTTTTAAAAACTTTAAATTGCTTTAAAATTACTCCGAAACTGGTATAATATGTTAATATTATACCAGTTTCGGAGTAATTTTAAAGCAATTTAACCTCTGCTAATTTCATTCAAACACAACAAAAACATAAAAACCTTTTCCGTCCTTTCATTCGAAACGTTCAGAAAATATTGGGTCAGGACCCAAGCAATCTGTTAAGCAATCATTGTTTTAACCTGTACTTCCACCAATGTTATTTATTGCATAACTTGTACTCAGTGCAAAAAGATGTACATAGGCGAAACAGGAAAACGACCAAGCAACCGATTCCGAGAACAGCTTCGTAACCTAAAGAAAGATGATAAAGACGCATCCAAACCAGTCGCTAGACAATTTCATTTCCCTATTCCTTCTAAGCAGCATATGGCAGTCTGCGGCCTTTCTCTGCCTCTAAGCAGCACGTGCACAATCCTGAAAATAATTGTGAGATCTTTATCGTCTTCTGCTGTTTCCGTAGTGTCACGGCAAGAACTAAAAACATAATATGCTAGTGTCTATAAGCCATAAATCACAAAAGGAAAGAACTCAACTGTGTAGCGAGTGCGAATTTCGACTTTCTAAAGTACACAGATACATACAATAGATAACACCGGAAAACATCGGGTGAAAATTGGCTCAAGATTGGAATTCAATTGTTACGCACACTCGCCCATCTCGACGACATATGTGGCTTTAAGCAATCCCACTTGATGCTATAATTGACTACAAAATATACAGAATCTCGCTCGAACAATTTTTCTAACTTCGATTGTGGGGGAGACACATGGATTATTCTTAGTTTTACCTGAGCGGTTCCGCTTTCAGTGACCGCTCAATACAGGTGGAGAATAATAAAATGGGCCGTTGGGACTCAGCAAAGGGTGATTGCGACCGCTTAATAGAGGTGAAAATTGCGGAGATCAATGGAAAAAAAAACCTGGCTTTGGCAACTGACCGCTTGATACAGGGTGACCGCTAAATACGGTGCCGCCTAAAACAGGTTTGACCGTAGTTTTTATTTAAAACAGTCGATTATTTGGGACGCAGTTCCAATGATTTCTCTCCTATTCTTTTATCAGGGTCCTTGCAAATTACATGATGTGGCAGGTAGTTGTTCAGCTGGCTCCCCATCTTAGTGAAGAATACCGTAGGGCTTTCTACAACTATCACAGGGTGGTTATGGGAAGCTCGGGCGAGACAGACATCTGGAAAAAATGTATTACGGAAATGAGTCGCCTTGACAATGACATTGGAGATCCTCTGGGAGTAATCTTCCTGGATGAGAAGTTTGATAAAAAAGATAAAGAGTCGGTGAGGGCCTTGTTTCATTGAGGAGAGTTTAAACGCGTGTATTTGTTATTTCTTTGTAAGTTTGGGAGCTTTGTTCGACAGTCTCTTTTTTACTAGTTATAATTTACATGTGCGTCGAAAATAGCGGCTCCGGACCAGTCATCAAAGAATAAGCCCACGCTTAGCGTGCGTATATCGGGTTATATATGCACGCAGGAAGTCTGGAGAGCACGAGAGAAGTGCAAAACTTGCTTGAGGCGCAGCCGAAAAAACCTCTAGCTTTTTCAGTGCTCTTCGAGCTATCCAAGTGCATCCATAACTTGACATACGTACATTAAGGCTTGAAACAATTATTTTATTACATAGTATGCAGACACAAGTTGTGCTCGTAAAGAAAGAGTTTGTTATTACTGTGTCGGGTTAACCAGGTAATCGTGTCCCTCCCGTAAACTATGTTTAAATGACAAGGAGAAAACGACTAAGGAATATTTCGAGACCAAAGCTTGTTCAAAGAATTGTAAATGTTCTACTCAGAAGCGATCAAGGAACGAATTTCTTGCATGTACGTAGTAAATTAAACATTCTTGAATCGTTATTTACTGGAATTCACGGCCAGAAATTTTCATAGTTTTGTGTTGAAAAGTTTGATAGTTCTAAACAATACTTCAAGCAAATATCAACAGCTGAAAATGATATCACAAGTCCGAAAAACGAAGCGAAAAAAATTACAAATTTCTTGCATTTACGAGACCAGTGTGATAGATTTATCCTGCTTGAACTATTGTTTACTAGAATGTACGGCAAGAAACTTGCATAGCTTTTTGTTGAAAATTATGAAAATTTTATCATTTCAAAATATAAATTTCTTTTGGGAAACAGTTTTGGGACAAATCATCACTTCAAAATAATATTTACCGTTCTAGTGAAGAGTCCCCAGCGTCGCAAAGCCTGATTTAAAGTCAGAAAACTTAGTTCAGTTTTCAGCCATAATCCGCATTGCTTTTAGGAATGAAGTATCGTCAACTCGAAAACTAATTTCGCTGCTTGAAAGATCTACATGCTCATGTTTTTCCAAACGAGTATCATTTAGCGTATTTTCTTTCATTTTGAGCTCCAAAAGGTGTATCTCAATCGGAATAGAGCGGAAAAAATATTGAAAGTTTTGAAACCTTGCGGCCAAACTCTACTGAACTTCAGCTGAATTAAAACTGCACACGTCATAATATAGAGATTTAATATATAGATTTAGGCAAGCCTAAAAACGGAGCTCGCATTTTCTTTCCTCGCACGTCTCTTCAACAAAACTAAAAATCCCCTACTATGGATAAAGTGCGTGGTAATATTAATGGATTTTCATTCGCAACTTCTCCGTGTCCTTGTAGAGGACTGATTATAAGATAGTGCCCGTGGTATAGTTGGCCGCGCATGCTAAAAGTAGCACCTTTTATGGTCAGTCCTACGGTCCTACGGTCGTACGGTCGTACTTCCAAATTTTTTTGGCTTGATGGGTTACTACTGTTTTGTATAATTATGGGGCTACGCTCTGCGAGCTCCGCTATTATAGATACACGGACGTGTGGCACATAAGGATTTTTACAAAGGTAGCGCCTTAGGAAATGGGTAGACCTTGCGTGCGTGCTATATTATAATTAAAGTTGGATATGTATACAAACATAAAAAATTGAATGTAAATGTGCTGTTCTTGTTAAACATCTAAGGCTTAACCCTTTGAACTGGTTAAAATCGCTGGTTTCATTAAAGAGAACGAGTATAAAAATTTCAGAAAAAATGCTCTCATTTAATCCTATGAACAATTTTTTAGGACGGCTTGATTTTACCTTTTTATTCTGTGTTACAAAGACGACAACATTTCAGTGGGGGTTAATACCTCCAACCAGTTCCCTTATACACTCAAAGCTAAGTACTTTCCGATTCATCCAAAATTAATCTGCCTATGACTTACTGTTTGAATAGGCCCGACGTCACTTAGTATCAGATATATATTCAGCAAAATTCTTGAAATTTTTAAGTTAATGCCATCAAGTAAACAAGAAGTTTGCTTTGCCTTTTTCAAGTAAATAAATCTTTGCTATTTCTTGTAATAATTTAACTATTTCAGGTAATGGCCATGATCGATGATTTGAGGGAAACGTTCATCGCTAACCTCGACAAACTTGACTGGATGGACAACAAAACAAGGGCTTATGCCAGAGAAAAGGTACATCTATAAACGCTGCGACGAAAGACTTCCATCCACTGCCAGTGCTTTTTTTAAGAAATTTACATGACTTTATATAATTCCTCGTTGCTTTTAAACACATTCAAGGTTCTTATTTAATGTATCTTTTCTCGGCAATGGTTGTTAAAATTTCGTTTTCTATTCTTATAATATACCCAGATATTCCTGGATGCATTTCAATGGCGACCCTTATGGAATCCCCAAATTAATGAGAATTGTTTCTTCTCTAAGGTTTGCAAAGCAGTAAGAGTTGTTATCGAGTCGAGCTGCTATTGCGTAAAAAGTCGCTTTCAAGATTTCTTTCATTCATCGATGTCGTCGTAATGTTAATGATTATAGTGTTATACAGCTATAAGAAACATCCGTATTTAACACAATGAAATATCAAAAACAGAATCAAGTTTCAAAATGGTGACAAATGCTGCGGAACTGTTAAGCTTACAGAGAACATCTCAAATTCAGTTTCTGATATTATACATCTAGCTGGTAAAGATATTTTACATTTGCTAGGTCTCGAAGCGGGTCCTCTATTCATAAAAAGCATAATGCTGAAGGTGATACTTTGTACCAACCTGAATGATGTCTTAGAGTTGTCTGATTCCTGGCTCAACCTTCATTTTAAATCAAGAAATTTGATTTTCTGGATAGTAATCTTTGACAAACAACAAGCCAAGGGATTTAGGTGAACCATGGTTTCTTAATCGTCTGCCCAGTGGTAATGAACTTGCTATCGTTTAGTCAATTCGGCAAGAACTCACTTTGGGCTTTTCCTGAAACGACTTCACTACATAATCATTAATACGTTGTTCATTACACATAACTAAACCTTCATGTTATCACCCTCAGGCTTCTGCAATCAGACACAACATTGGGTACCCAGAATACATGAAAGATAAACGAAAGCTATCAGAGAGATTCAAGGACGTAAGTATAGAGAGGATATTACTTGATGGCGAGAAGATATGAGTTTTATGTGCGAGTGAGATATAATTCGTATCACGAGAACATAAAATTCATAACTTGGAGCTAACATGTAATTTTCTTTTTATCATATGGACAATAAATGTATGTGGTAGAAATTCAAATGCTGGCTTTTATACAAATACTGGATATTATACAAACGAAATAGCCGGTGCCCAAATTATAAAAAGGTTCACATAACAACGCCCGTTGGTCAAGGTACATGTGAAGAGTGTTTTAGATCTCTGTAAAACACTCACGCCCATATACAATCTGTAAAGCACTTATTGCGCTTTACCATATATATGAAAGAGAAAAATATCTAACCTACTTAAGTTCTATAATATTACATATTTCATAGATCTCTAGAGTAGAACTTAAGAAAACTGAACAACTGTTAAAGTTAGCAGAGAGCTAACCTAAAATTATGAGTTCAGGTTCCGTTTAAATTCATTAAAAAATCTCGAAGCGCTAATGGTCCTTGGCAAAGATTTCCATAAGGATGGAGCGGCTAAACTAAAGGCTATGTCCGAATAAGTTTCAGTTTAGCATTTCGCTTCCTGAAGACGGTTTGTAGAAGATGATCTAGGTTGTGTAGTGGGCCTGCACTGATAAATCATACTTGAAATATAGCTAGGTGCCTACACTTCATAGGTAATAAGAAGTAATTCAAACATATCATGCTCCCCAACATGGAGTAAAGCTCTTTGAGAGCTGGTTTATTGCAAGAAAAAGACTTACAGATGGCACTGACATGACACGTCAATGAATATAGCTCCTAGATTGGGATTCCGTCCCACTTTATATGTCACCTACCGTTTTTTGCTTTCTTTATTTTGCGTCGCCATGAGCTACTATCAGCCAGCAAAATTCTTATCGTATCAGCGCTAATCGTATGGTTCCCAAAATATAACCGCAGGCAAAAACATTTGAATTTAAGTGCCTATGACACGAATGTTTTTTTTTTTTTGCGTAAATATTTAGCTTATCATATGTACAAACCAATTCCGATAGAAGAAAAAATTCAAAAAGCCCAAAACACGGTTTTTTCGGGCCCTAAAGTGTCCTTATTTTGTCTTAAAAGTGTCACGTGGACTTATAACGAATTAGCGGGTGAAAACTGTGAAAACCCTCAGTTGATACTTACAAATCTCTCGCATCTCTTGTAATTTTGTATCAATAAGTGTTGAAATACTCTTGAAATTATGACCGATAGCGATCTATACTTACCTTCAGCAAGCTCTAACGAGAGATGTGATACATCGTACTCAAGTGACACAGAAGAAATGGAAGTTGCGAGTACGGTTCAGCCTTACGAAGGAGAACCGCGTGCATCAAAGAAGATTTCGACAAAGACTGACAAAGGCGGTTTCTCGCCTGCGGTTTTCAGGTCAATACTAGAACAAAAAACTCCCGTTACAGAATATTTAGTTTTTTGCGTTTGTGTTTTGTTTTCTATGGCGAAATCTATGTTAAGAGTGGGTAGTGTGTTCGTTTCTGTTGCCATAACATTTCATTCCTTCGTGCTTAGTGCGGCGAAGGTTCCCCTTGCTCAGTGCTCTAGAGTTTGGTTGATGTAGAGAAATTCCTTTAGCAAACCAAAAGCGATTTTTGGCGAAAGAATCAGCTGTATCACGAGGCACGATGATTTTTCGCCGAGAAGTCATCTGATTCAATATAATCTCAAATAGGGATTTTAATAGAGAAAAACGTCTTTAGTTTAAGTGCAGCATTGCCATGTGACCCACTTCGCCCAATGGGTAAATGAATATTTCGTATGCATCGACCTTCACGCAGCACTTGGATTCACTTCCATCTAATTCAATAAAACTTGTGTTTCTTTATTTATCTCGTTGCAGTGCTTTTATCACAACGACATTGCCATTGTTGCTACTTTTACTTCTTAGTTTCTTGTAACGTCATTTCACAGCATGTTTCCGATATCAGATATTATTCTCTTCCATGGGAAGATAAACTTAGGCACAAGAATGCGTTTATATGCTTTCCATTGTTAGTTGTAATCATTCCCTGAAGAAGTCTCCGTTAAAGACGAAACGAGAAATTACAACAATAAGACGTCTTCCTTTGTACTGTTAACTAGTCTCCGTCAAAAAAGTGTAGCGGATTTGCATGTTACGAACGACACAAAATGAATGGCAAGTTTTCTTGATGGGTTAAAGATCTTTTGAGGGAAAGAATAGAAATCATGAAATTCCTAGTCTCAGTCATGTCTTATACTGCCTGTAATCGTGAAACTTATTGTCCTACCGTTTTCTGTGTGTATTGCGTTAAGGTTTTAATTTACCTGTAAGTGTTTGTACGTTTTATTAGTTGCAATGTGTACACGTGGTTGATCTTTGTACCATTACGTAACGTTACGTAATTATGGCAAGTGGTTCGTCAGGTTTTATGAATAAATTTAGTCCGGTGGATCAATGTTCACATCCACTCTTTTAGAAACAGCGTAGTCGGTTTCGATCTTCGCCTGTAAAGCTATTAAGGAGCAGTTACAAAAATCGGACTCTGGCGCATTGTCAAATGCCGCAAGTCACATCTCCACTTTTTGGAACTACTATATCACAGATCAACGAGTTCAATAGTTACAAAATGAGGTTTCTGACACATTTTAAATTCACAAGCCACCTCCTGTGAAATTCAAAGTAATTGACACACGCTACTGTCACTCTTGCATGCTTCCTGACGGTTTCATACAACAGGATCTACATCAATGTTGTATCTTCTTATGAAGGAATCGTGGTGTGCCTTGATTTTAAATGAGAAGCATTTAGTAGGTCACACTCTCAAGCTCTTGGTTGATGATGTGGAGCTGAGCCTCTGCGAAGATAAAGACGTGACATTTCACATTCCCTAAACCCGATGCCTTCCTGTTAATTGAGAGCTGAACTCCTTCAGTTTCTTCGTATCCACCGATCTCAATCCTGAACCGTAAAGATCGTTGTCCCTCATACTTCCAAGACAAATAGAGCACATCACTCTTCAGCATAAACGTCTGTTGCATTCATTACGCTGTTTTCTTTCCAAAATCTTCTAAAGACCCCTCACACATATACCCTCGACTGTAAAACCTTATTCGGTATTCCATTCACAACCACCTTTACCTCAGTGATGTCGGGATTGAATGTCTTCTCACTGTCTCTTGCTCCTATTGTGTGTGGCTTGTAGAGGAGAAGAAGTCCCTTCAGTGATCGCCTTGGGGAATTTACTGTTTCATTGATGATTGTGTCAGATCCCTTATCTATTAAGATTCCGCTTCAGAAAATTATGGAAAGCATCAGGAATTGAGAAGATGTGAGATTAGTCAACAATCGTTCGATGGCACGAAAACTTTACAGCAAAACCAAACTTCAAACATTACACAACACTCGAGGGAGACAAAAGTTGTATTTGATAAGCCGGTCTACTGTGGAATGAGCGTCCTCGACAATCAGCAAGACACTGATGTGTGACTTCCATTATAACTGTACCAAACCAAAATATGGAGATCGAGCAAAGCTTCTCTTTACAGACACAGACACTCTCGTGTATGAGATTGAAACTGAATACTTCTTCAAGGATAAAGGCGGTGATGTTGAAGATAAATTCGACACAAGCAACTACCACAAAGATCACATGTCAGGGATCTTAACTGGCTGCAACAAGAAGGTTGTGGGCATGATGAAAAATGAAGCTGGTGGTAGGATCATTGAATAGTTCGTTGGATTGAGAGCAGAACTTTACAGCATCAAGATTCTTGAGGGAAAAGTGGAGAGAAAGTGTAAAGGGGTTAAGAAGGCTCTAGTAACGAAGACTATTAGTCATGAATACTACTAGGAGTGCTTATTCAGCGGAGGAAAGATTCAAATAAGGAATATAATTGCAATAAGATCACTTAAGGATGAAGTCTTCACTGAGACCATCAACAAGATAGCCTTGAGTTCAAATGATGATAAGAGGGTAATCAGGGAAGAGAAGAACTTTTGCTCGTGTCCACTATAAAATATGACTACTGACAATAGTCCATTCAATACATTAATGATAGAACCAACAAATTCAGGAAAGACGAGATACCTGGTAAATCTCTTGAGCAGTACCCTCCGAGGAAAGTTTCATCACATATTCTTGATTTGCCCGACATTCATTCAAAACATTACATATGATGGTTTTAGAGAAAATGATAAGGACTTACTTATCTTGACTCCACTTCAAGACCAGATAGTCTTAAGAACAGTAGTTATCCATATTTATCCGTATGAGGGAACTAATATACTGATCATTCGCGATGAATGCGCTGCTTTGAGAGACGTGAAGCAGAGGACGAATGAGCTCGTGAATTTAGCATTCAGCGCAAGACACACTAGGATCAGTGTTCGGGGAATCACACAGCAAACGACAAGAATCGAAAAACCATTCAGAGAGAAGACCGCTGCATTAGTTCTCTTGTATACACCCTCAGCAAAAGACATGAAGATCACATTCGAGAATTATGTGGATGAGTGGACGAGAGATGAGCAGAAGGAAAATGCGACTTTGCTAATACTGGCGTCCAACTGAATGCTGGGATTGGCCGAGCCAGTACCAAGTCACTCATGGGGCATCAGTGTCCGTGATGAGTCTTCGATCGTTTTTATTGTTGGGAGAGGCACAGAGCGAAATAAACCTTCCCAATTGACTCAAAAGTGTTTGCTTGTAAACCGTTTTTGCTTAAAAAATGGCATGAGGAGATCATTGCTCAGTAAGGGGTTGTGACAGTGACCGCAGATACCCAAGAAGCTACGAAAATTTAAGGAAATTCTTTTATACATATTTTTATTTATATTTTCAGTTAAACTGCCCAGCAAGTTTTTGCTGGAGTCCATTATAAGTTGCTGAATAAATTCTTATGTCTTCAAGGTGCGTAAAAAAGGATCACGTGGATAAAATTCACGTTTTTAAATGTCAAGAAAAAAGAAGGAAACCCATCTGAA